CAGCATCTCCACTCTCAAGGCCCATAGAGAATCTCTCACATGTGCATCAAGCCAGTGTGCCCTGTCCCTGCTAGGGAGCAGTGCCCAGTCAGTCCCTAAGGGTCGCAAGACAAGCAGAGTATACCATGTCTAAGAGAGCATCCTATGATACGTGATGACAGTGGCTCCTCCCACATTCTTGGGGGAGCACAAAGGCTTCTCACTGAAATGAACACACCTGAATTAGCTCTGTGTAGGTGAAAGGTCATTTGTATGTGTGGAGGAGTGAACTCAGGGTTCATGGGTACCATATCCATTTGTGGGTGGAGGAGAGAATGAACTCAGGTTTCATGGGTACCATACCCATTTGTGTGTGTGGGAGAGAGTGAACTCAGGCTTCATGGACTTACATTATACCACTGTCGCATATTCAGTCCATGACTCTTGGTCTGACTTTTTAACTTGTGGCTGGGGAGAAGGAAAAAATGAGGTGGGATATAATTCCAGGAAACAACAGGACAGCTCTGCAGACTGTAAGGTCCACTACAGCCACTTTTCAGAATTGCAAGCGTCATCTGGGTATAGGAGGTACATTCTAGTCCATTGAAATGACTGCAGCAGTGCCAAGAATCAGTCCGTACAGTACCGACAAAGTGAGTACTTTAAAGACGCCAACAGCCTAACACAGGCACACCTTGTGTGATAAAGGAGATGCTCGGCTCAGAGGAGTGTTAAGTAATAAATGCCATTGAAACACCTGGTAAGCTGCCTGGAAAATAACAGATTGTTTTAGTTAGCAAATAGTGACCAGCAGGTTAGAAAGCAGTACCAGCATGCTTTCTGTGAACTGAAACTTCAGATAGCAGTAATGAGTCAGGGACATAGATCACAAGTCGTTGGAGGATCGAGGGCGTTAGCTGTTTTCATTTCCTGTTGAATATGTTGATCAACTTGTGGCCTTCATGGGCCTCTGGCTCACAAGCACCCTCCATTTAGATTAATTTTCCCCTTTGTCTCCCTCTGGAAAGTCAAAAATTTTGAACATCAGCCCATGATTTCCTTTTGTGCACTGTGTAAATGATATAGCTACCTTACTCCCTATCTGGCTGTTATTCACGGGGAGGGAAGATTACAGAGCCTCATCTAGAAGAGGTTTTCATGCCCGGTGGGAAGTTGTAGCCAATCCAAATATAGTGGATCCAGTGTGTGTGTGTGTGTGTGTGTGTGTGTGTGTGTGTGTGTGTGTGTGTGTGTGTATGAGAGAGACAGAGAGAGAGAGAGAGAGAGAGAGAGAGAGAGAGAGAGAGAGAGATCCAGCCTGATATCGCTAGACTTTTATTTGACAGATTCTTGACCTCCCATTTCTTGATCACCAAGCAACTTCTTAATTATGTATGGTTTGGCTGCCTCTGTGGTTTTCTGCAGGGAGAGAACTGACCGGTCATGCTGACTTCATACTTCATCCAGGACGTTACTCACCAAATTGACATTCTGGTTTTATGTATCATTGGAGGTCTTTAAATATGAGCTTGCTCCCATGAAGCAGTTTCTACTGGGATTTCTCGGACAAAATGAAGAGTAGGCATGATGCTGACAAGTTTGCCAGACTCTTTAGGTACAGGACAGTGGTTGTTGGTAACGGTTCTGGAGTCGAGATAGACAGTCCTAGGATCAAGTGTGACCTTGACCTTTCTATGCCCTGGCTTTTTGTCTGTGAGGTGTTAGCTAATGTAGGATTGAGATTGAATGTTATTTTTTTTATCTGTGAGGTGTTAGCTAATGTAGGATTGTGAGACTGAATAAGAAAGCATACTCTAGATCAGGGTTCTGAGCCTCAGTACTATTGGCGTTTGAAGCTGGACAGTGCTGTATTTGAAGATGGTTCATTGTGGCGGGGTTGCTGTGCCTTGCGGTCTCTTCAGCTGCATCCCTGACCCGAGCCCACGGTAGGTCTGTGGCCTCCACTCGCCCCTACGCTTGGATGATCTCCTGATGTGGCTGTATAGAGCAGGGCCTGCAGAAAGGAAGGTTAGGTACTGTAAATGCATGTTTCCTGTCTGGACCAGAGGCCGAGTATGAACTATAAATGCTCGACTGAAGTTAACTCCTACTTCTGTCTACATTTGCCCCGTGGCTCATGGCCTGTTGCCTCGTTTTTCACACGTCCTGCTTGCTTGGAGGCTGGCTTGTGTCTCCTCTGACTCTGCCCTTCTCTTTCCCATCATCCTTAGTTGCCTGGCTATTGGCCAATCAGTATTTTATTAAACCAATTCGAGTAACAGATCTTTATGGCAAGGTACCAAGGAGGATGGATGTTATTCCTGATGCCATCCTGAGACTTTTGGGAAGACATTTGTGGTCCTTATTTATCATTTGTTTCATTCAGTTCCTATATCTTAGCCAAAATAATCTCTATGTAGACTCTAATAATTTTTTTAAAACCTACCTTTTTAAAAAAATTAAAGAAAAATAACAAATCTTTAAATTTGCAAATAAGAAAATGGTGCCCAAGCTTGTAAAGTGGGTATTCCTGTGATGTTTAGTGTTGGGGTTGTCATTAATGTTAAACTATTGGGTCAGTTCCTTCCACGATATACATTACTGCATTAAGCATAAAGAAATATGCATAATTTGTGAACTTTTGTAATAAACATTAACAAGTAAAGTGATTTAAATAATTTTGAGCAGTCTAAGTGTAAAATGATTTTTTAAAACTGGCTATGTCCAAATGTGGTGGTGTACACCTCTAATCCCAGCACAAATGAGGCAGAGGCAGGTGGATCCCTGTTTTCAAGGTCATCCTAGTCTACAAAGTAGGTTCTAGGTCAGCCAGGGCTACATGTAGACCTTGTCCTTAAAAAAGAAAAAGAGAGAAAGAAACTGACTTTAGTCAAAAAGAAAATAACATTCTCATAAATGACAATAAAAGAAATATACATAGTCAAAAGTATTTGGGAGTTGTTCATATTTAATAGTTTAAATACTTAAATCCTTTCTTTTAAATTGGCAAAGATTTTAAGTGGGAACACCCAGGTATTTTATGTAGCCAGAGAGCCTTTTGATATTCTTTGTAGGACAATGGATGGGTTCAGCCTTTGTAATAAATATGCCTTAAGATTTGTCATGCCTTTTAGGCTCCCAGAATAACATTTGGAATAATATAAAGTGTCCACATGTATTTATGGTTGAAGAAGTACAATATCACAAAAATATTGTAATAAAAAGCCAGTTAAATGCTTAGTATTAGGAGCTGAGTTAATTATAGCAAAGCAACATAATTTATAGTCCTTAACAATATTTATTGTTTCTGGTGACACAAACATTCTTAGTGTTAAGGGAAAAGAAAGCAAGTTTTCAGGCTGCACATGTAGTATAAATTCAAATCTGACAAAGACCAGGAGGAAATATTTCCAGTATTAGCAACATCTGTTCCTGAGAAAGTGGTTTAAATAATTTATGAAAATTTCTCATAGATATATGATTAAATTGATCATTTCATGGCAAGCTTTGATTTTTTTTCTGTTCGTGTTCTCTTAGGTAATTTTGAGGTCATAAACATTGCTTTGCCTTAGAAATAAAGACGAAAGGGTTATTTTTTGAGTAGGAATAAACAAAAAGCAATCACCAGGGTCATAAAGTATGGATCTATATTATGAAAATTTCTTAATTAAATGTAATCAATTTTAGGGGTGAATTTCTTGCTCTATAATTAATGGATCTTTATAACCATTCTGGTACTCTTCATGATCACTAATTTAAAAAATTATTTCTTTTTTTTTTTTTTGGTTTTACGAGACAGGGTCTCTCTGTATTGTTTTGGAGGCTGCCGGTCCAGCCTGGCCTCGAACTCACAGAGATCCGCCTGCCTCTGCCTCCCGAGTGCTGGGATTAAAGGTGTGTGCCATCACCGCCCAGCTAAAAAATTATTTCTTTTATTGTTGAGATTATAATGTAGTTACACCATTTTCCCCTTCCCTTTCCTCCTTCCAGACGTCTAGCATTCTCCTTTGCTCTATGAAATTCATAGCCTCTTTTTTCATTAATTGTTGTTAACACACATATATGCATATGCGTATGTGTGTGCACATACACACTCCTAAATATACAAATGCAACCTGCTCGGTCTGTATAATGTGACTTGTATGTGTGTGCTGTGACCACTTGAAAATGGATAACAGGTGGTGTCGGGGGCTGGCTGGCCCTCTCTCGGCATCCTTTAGTTGCCTGTAGTTCTTTGTGCAGCGTTGAGGTGTCCTGGGCTTTCCCATCTATGTTGGCGAGTCTGTTGGTGCCATCTGTGTCCACCCCATGTTTAAGGCCATGGGTGTAACTTCTGACATTGCAAGGAGACACAACCTCACAGCAGAGTCCCTGATCCTCTGGCTTTTACAATCTTCCCACAACCATCCCCTGAGCCTTAGGTGTGGAAGTGTTTTGTAGATGTATCAATTGCGACTGGGCCCACAACACTGCAATTTGATTGGTTGTGGTTATCTGTAATTGTCTCTGCCTGTTGTAAAGAGAGGTCTCCTTAATGAGGGGTGACTAAACCTATTCTGTGGGCATAGGACAAATATTTAAGATGGAGTCAGGGTTTATGCTGGCTTTGTAAAGTGGTAGTTGTAGATCCCCCTCCAAGATCCATGACCTCACTAGCTCTTGGCCAGGTTTCCAGCACCAGGCATGATCTCCTTCTTTTTGAGAGGTCTTAAATCCAATTAGAGAGCTGTTGGTTACTGCCAAGGTATGCCTGTCACCTTAGGGTTATGTGCCACGCTGGCAGTTGTTACGGCTCATAGGTGTCATATCTGGGTAGGACTGTTGGTTGCTTCTCTCCTTCGGAAGCTTGCATGGCGCCTTCTGGTGACATGAGTCTAGTCGTCAGAGAGGCTTTCAGATCAATACCGGCTCAGGGGCCTCTGGATCCTGTGTCTGAAGGTCGCTGATGATTCACTTTTAAAGGTATTTATTGCATGTACTTGATGAACAAATGCTTAAAATGTCCCCTCTTATATTTGCAGTTTGTGCAGAAGCTTATAACCCTGATGAAGAAGAAGATGATGCAGAGTCCAGGGTATGTAGTTTACTGAATTAGGTAATGGTAAATGCGTTCTATAAGGAAATTAACAATGGACACACAGACTTTCAGGACAGAAAGTGAAGTTGTTTCCTTCCCTCATCTTGACGGTCTACTTCTACTTCAAATGCAACAGAACCCCCGCCCCGCCCGCCGTCGACCGCTTGGATGAAATGAGACAGCAGCATAAGCGCTCACTGAAGTTATGTGTAGCCCTTTCACTAAAGGCATCCTGTGATGAAAGATGTTTTGAGCTATTTATTTTTCTTATGGCCATAGTTATTTATAAAAAGTATTCCTACTATAGAGAGATGCTGGTGAAGACCTTCTGCTCCTGTCAGTCAGCAACAGAAGGTTCCTCGGAAGCAGACGAGCCTCAGTAGAATCACAGAGAAGGTGCCAACACAACATGCACCATGCCTTGCACAGACTGATTCTTGGAGGCCCTGGCAGTTGCGTAGAGTCGGCTCTGGGTGCTGTGGTACAGCTCTGAAGCTGAGTGCTTCTCCCGTTAGTGTGCCAGGGAGAGTAGCTAAATAAGACCTTACTGTGCCTGAACGTGGAGGAAGGTAGCAACTTTCTCACTCTTTCTAGTCCTCCCTTTCTCCCTTCCTTCCTCTCTTTCTTTGTGCATACTTTGGGAAAGTCTCTGTTGCATCTTCAGCCGTAAAAAGTGTTTTTTTTTAACCGTCTATGGCTCTTAAAAATGCAGAAAAGCAGGCAGCAGGTCCAGAGTTTTTTGACTGTTAAGCTCTTGAAGTATATATGTGCCCGCATTATACACACACATACACACATACAGGCGCAGTCAGATTCTTCTGTTGCTAACCTGGCGCACCGTGTATGCGCTAAAAAACGATGCCTGTCACATGCTTCATCTGTACATCTGTCTGGCAGAAGCGCTAATGGATGGCAGTTGAGGAACACACATCCCTATGTCTGTGGTTAACTATCCATGGTAAAATTTAGAAGTCAAGATAACTCGAGGTAGTTTAAACTAGTTTTAAAAATCTAAAACTAAGCCAGATGATGGTGGTAGATTCCTATTCTAATTATTCACTTAGCAGCCAATCATATGCAATTAAACATAAAAATACCAGGGACAGCTTATTAAATGTATGTTTGGCTGTATTACCAATTCCAGAAAGAGTTCAGAGGCCACATGTAGACAGGGGCTGCCTGCCTCTAGGGCAGAGGTTCCCAACCTGAGGGTCATGACCACTTGGGGGGATCACATATCATATCCTACATATCAGATATTACATTATAATTCATAACAGTACCAAAATTGCTGTTACGAAGTAGCAGTGAGCATAATTTTATGTTGGGGAATCACACTACACGAGGAACTGTTCTGAGACGGTCACAGCATTAGGAAGGTTGGGAACCACTGCCTGGAGGCCTTCAGCATTAAAGGTGTAGGTGTTGAGGGCTGTTGAAGGCACTCACCCACCACACTGTCCTTATGCTGGCTTTCAGTTCAAGATCCGGTTTATGGGAGCTTCTAATAAGCCCAGTGCTGGCTAGCTGAGGCACGGCCGGGAAATTGGAGACCAGTTGTATAAATAAGAGCAGACATTTTCTATGGAAGGTGGGTTTCGTGTCGGTTTGGCACAAGCAAGAGTTGGTTTTGGAAGAGGGACCTCAGTTGAGAAAAATGCCTCCACTAGATTGCTCGTTTTTGGGCAAGCCTGTGGTACATTTTCTTGATTGGTGATTCACACGGGAAGGTTCAGCTCACTGCAGGCAGTGTCACACCTGGGGGCTGGTGCTCCTGGGTTCTGGAAGAAGGCAGACTGAGCAAGCGTGGGCAACAAGCCAGTAAGCAGCACCCTGCATGGCCTCTGCATCAGCTCCTGCCTCCAGGTTCCTGCCGTTTGAGTTCCTGTCATGAACAATCTGATGGTGGACTACAGCTGCAATAGGAATAAACCTTTTCCTCCCCAAGTGGTTTTTGATAAGATACTGGGATTTGTGGGATAGGGACTCACTCTAAAACTTGTCTTCTCTAATACTTTCAGTTCCTATGTAATATATTAGTTACATAGTAATGGTCATGATAAATGGCTTTATGAGTCTGATTAGGTTGGAATGCTTTTCTCTAGATAGCATAGTAAAAATTAGACTTTGCCTTCGGCTTTAAAACTATAAGGCAAACTATCAAGGTTCCCAGGAATGATTATTACAGATGTCAAAATTAATTAGTTCTAGATAGATATTGAAAAAACATCTGTGAAGAAAATACATACTGTATTTTGGTAGAGCAGCATTTCATATTATCTCTGGAATTCTTCATAATCATGCAATCTACAAACTCACAACAAAAAATGGTATTTATCTTTATATGAACTCAAAGAAAATCTGAATATTTAAGACTCATTTTGGAAACTAATCTGGGTTTTAGTTGAAATACCAATAATAAATGAGAATTTAAGAATTGTATACCTCTAGCAGGAGACCTGAGAGGGAAGAGTCATGTACTTGCTCACTCTGTTCTACAGAATCATTCTGAAGCTTTCTTCTGCACAGCTGGCCAGCTGCTAGCCCCGCCCACTTCCTGAGAGGCTAGGGGCAGATGCAAACAAGTGAATAAATGAGTAATTACAAAATACACAGTGTCAAAGTACAGTACACATTGTATAGAAATTGAAAGCTTGTCTGTCTGAAGTGGTGGAGGCCTCTTGAGGTAAGACATAGCAAGACAAGAGTCTGAGTTTGAACAGCCACCAGGAAGGGGGGTGAGGGTCTGATGACAGGTGTACTCTCAGCTCAGTGTGGGGTCCGCTGAGGTTTGCAGCTGGAGATTGGAGGGCTCTCGTTGGATGTTTGACTGATCTCCTTTATGTGGTCCAGGAGAATGGAGTGGGTTTCCCTCTGTAGCGGAGCACGTCTAAGCAAACCGTACTAGCTGCTCTTCTTATTCTTTTCCTTGAAAGGCAGTAGAAGTTCAGAGCAGGAGTTGGCAAATGCTTTATGCCGGGATTATTTTTGTTTTAACTGAAAATTCACTATTTCTGAACATGAATATTTAGTATTTTGGAGTTGGAAGCTCCCTTAAAGCTACTCAGCGCTGCTGCTGTGGCTCAGATCACACAAGCGTGTCTGTGTTCTGAGGACAAGTGCATCTCATTTCCATGTGTCAGGAAGTGTGTGCGCACGCGTGTGCATGCATGCATGCTTGCAGGGGTGGGAAGGGAGAGAGAAGCGTTAATTTAACTAATCTTAATGGACAAAAGCCAGGAGTCAGATATCGGGGTAAAACTGGAAGAGCAGAGAAGGGGGAACAGCTCCCAGTTGCTTCCTACCTCTCTCCTTTCCTCTGTCCAAAATGAGCAAGATCCTCTCTCTACCCCACCTTACCACTTCCTGCCTCTCTGGCTGCAGTCCTCCAAACCTCTGTGGTTAACTAGTGGCTAGCTCTGCCCTCTGGCTTCAAGCAAGCTTTATTGGTCAGAACACAAACAGAACGTCACACAACACTAGGGGGAGACAGAGAGAGCACAAAGGTAAAGCCATTCTTGGCTCAGAAACCATTGTCTATGGGTGAGCTTGTCGGTGTGGGTTGCTGTTCCGGGGTATGAGTGTGTTCTTGTAACCAGTTTATCAGGGATGGATCCCAGCTCTGCAACCCGTGGGCTGTGAGATGATGGAGAAGTCAGTTGAGTGAGTCCATTTTCTCACCTCTAAATTACCACCTACTTCCAGGGGTCTGGTACTAGTTTAAAATGAATTGATATTTATGGGGCCCTTAAATTACTGCCTAGCACTGGGGGGTGGTAACACACATCTTTAATTCCAGCACTTGGGAATCAGAAGCAGGTGGATCTCTGTGAGTTCAAGGCCAGCCTGACCTACAAAGTGAGTTTCAGGATAACCAGGGCTACACAGTGAAACCCTGTCTCGAAAAACCTAAATAAATAATAAATAAATAGTACTACCTGACATACAACGGATGCCACATAAATGCCATTTAACAGGACTTTTTAAAATATTTTTAATAGTAATTTATTATTATTTTATGCGCATTGGTGTTTTGCTTGCATATATGTCTGTGTGAGCAGGTCAGATCTCCTTGAACTGGAGTTACAGACAACTGTGAGCGCCATGTGGGTACTGGGAATTGAACCAGGGTCCTCTGGAAGACCATTCAGTGCTCCTAACCTCTGAGCCACCTCTCCAGTCCCATTTAACAGGATTTTTATCCTGAAATGAGAAATTTTAATAAAAATCAAAAGAGCCTATGTGTTGGGGAAGTCTTTTGTCAATAAAGCACTGTTGAGCCAATAGGAATCTAGATGGGTGGGACTAGGAGTCCAAGAGGATTCTGGGAAGGAGAAACACAAGAGATTTGACATGTAACCACCATGGGGTAGGAAGCCCAGAACTATTCTCCGGTAAGAGAAATACTTAGATTAACAAGTATGGGGTAATTACTTAAGTCAGAGGTAGCCAGAAAGAAACAAGAAAAGGCCAACAGCTTCATAATAAATACAACGTCGTGTGTGTTATTTGGGCACTACAACGCGGCAGAGCCCAGGCGACTGGAGGGTGATAAACCAAAGCGGCTAGCAAGAAAAAGCTTCTCATTACACCTATGGGCTAGCAAAAGCTCACACATTGGGAGCAGTGTTAAGGCTGAAGTGTTCCAGAGACAAAGCTAGTGTGTAGAATGACATCAGCCTGATGGAAAGATGAGTCTGCAGAAGAGGGCCGCCTCTCTTGAGCCAGGAGAGCATCAGGGAGCACATCTGCCTTCTGGCTGCTCCCAGAGCACAAAGGGTGATAGGCCAAGTGTCCTTGCTTGGTGGAGCTCCGTTAGGGAGGTGACTGACAGGCCAAGTGTCCTTGGTGGAGCTCCATCAGGGAGGTGATTGACAGGCCAAGTGTCCTTGGTGGAGCTCCGTCAGGGAGGTGTGGGTAGTGGGCAGACTGCAGTAGACAGCAGTCCTGGGTAGGCCTGGAAAACACAGCTTAGAAATGTTAATCGTTAGAGTCAGGGGTTCAGGAAAAATGTTGGGGCTTCCCTGTTGATAGCTCACAGGGAGAGAAAACGTGGGGAGAAAGGAGACTTAAATTGTCAGAGGGTGAAGCAGCACAGAGTGGAGACCAGAGGGTAGATAGAATGCCCTCCCCACCTCCCCACCTCCCAGGGCCCTCCTTTCCCACCTCCCCACCCCCTTCCCACCCCCACCACCCCCTCCCTACCCCTCAGCACCCCCCTTCCCACCCCCCACCCCTGGTGTCTGCCCTGTGGGCACACCCTTACTGCTGCTTTCCCTCCCCACCTCCCCACCCCCCAGCGTCCTCCTTCCCCACCTCCCCACCCCCTCCCCACCCCCAGCACCCCTCTTCCCCACCCCCACCCCTACCCCTGGTGACTGCCCTGCGGGCACACCCTTACTGCTGCTTTCAGAGTGACCTGTGGCACTGAGCTTCATCTCTTGTGTTTCAAGTAGGAAGTGGTGAGCTCTGGTTAGTGTGATCTGGGGTTTGACCATCTCTGTGTAGCACTGGTTAGGAGCCCTGTGTTTGCCCGCTGCCTTAGGGTCTAGGTTCAGGTGAGCACGGGTCAGATGGTAGGCAGGCTTCGTGTATCTTACCCCTATGTAGTGACTTCCCATATCACATAAAAATGCCTGGCAGAAATATGGTAAGGGAATCGGGAATCAGGCTTGTTCTGGAGCCAGTTTATGGGGAGTGTTGGTCCATCGTGTAGGGAAAGGTGACAGTGTCAGGAATTTCACAGGGCACCATCCAGGAAGAGAATGCGGGTCTGGAACTACAAGCAGCTACAAGAAATGCCTGCACATACCCATCTGCTTATGCCACCCGGGCATCATCTGCTAAAGGAACCACATAAACATGGGACTTGGTCTGTGGGGTCATTTAGTCCCAAACCACGCATTTATTGACAAGCTGCCCAGACTCATTCACTCGCTGATAGTCTTTCAAGTTCCTATAAATCATGGAAGGTGTGATAGCCATCCGTATACTATGAGTGCCGGTTCCTTCAGGATATGCTTCATTGATTTGTTAGCTATCTCTTCTGCTGCGTTAAGTGTCCCTGTGTATTTAATGTTTCCATGGGCACAGACTCACTGCCTTAATGGGAGAGGTGACACATTTGCTTATCAGGTCCTACAATCTTTTTTTTTTTTTTTGAGACAGGGTTTCTCTGTTTAGTCGTAGCTGCCTTGTAGACCGGCTGGCCTCGAACTCAGACTTCCTTTGCCTCCCAAGTGCTGGATTTAAAGACGTGTGTCACCACGACCCAGCTACAGTTATTCTTTGAACTAACATTAGAATAGGAGATTCTACTCCGTGGCTGCTTCTAGAAGTGTCTTTTAGCTCTTACTTTATGTTTATAAAGTACCAGTGTTCACAATAAAAGGAGTCTTCTGGTGTCAGGGATATAGCTTGGTGGTGGAGCCTTTACCTAACTTGAGCAACATGGGTTCAGTCCCCATGTCCTGAAAAAGAACCCGACCTTGTTGGTCCATGAGACCCTGAAGCTGGCAGGCTACTCTCAGAGGACCCTCTGGTTGCTTTGTTGTCCTGGAGGAAATGGTCAGTGATGTCACAGAATACCAGCTTCTCTTAGCTTTATCCTAAAATGGGCGCATCATTCTCTTGGGGTGCGGTGCATGGTTGCTTGGTCTCTTTTTTGTAAATTCCTTACATGCCTTTTGGGGCAGTCACCTGCAGTTTTCCTACAGTCTTATTTCGTTTTGATGCAGTGCACATTTAAGAATGCCCTTGCTTCTGCAGACGTTGTCAAGTTCGGAAGCACAGAGCTGTGTCAAGAAGAGTGTAAGCTCAGTAGCGATGGGATGAAGGCGGCATCTAACTTTCCAGTGGGACTGTGCAACACTCTGTCCTTTTGTACATGTCCATATAGCCTGGGATGCTTGCTGTCTCTCTTGCTGCTCATGCTTCTTCTCATGATGTGCTTGCCCATCGTGGCAAGAATGTCCCTTCCAATCACTTCTGAGCACAGTGTTGGTGAGTGTGCTCTGCAGACCAAGGGACCGCCCGTGGGCTTGTTAGCCTCCCAGAGTGTGTGTCATGCCGCCTGTGAGTGAAGCTGAACACGCCATTATTCTCTTTAGCACTTTTTATCTTCATTGGCTTTTACCTGGTATTAACTGTTGTGTTTGTTTTCTTGATTTTGGTGTCTTTTCAGATAATACATCCCAAAACTGATGATCAAAGAAGCAGATTACAAGAGGCTTGCAAAGACATCCTGCTATTTAAGAACCTGGATCCAGTAAGATAAATCATAATAATAGAAGTGGGTTAAGACCTGGGCAAGGACATGAATTTCTCCCTTTCCAAGCTTAGATGACACTGGGGTCGTCGTGGAGGCAGATGGCGCGTGTACCTTCTGGCCTTGGATCTGTGGATAGTGGATACACTGTGTTAGAATGCCAAGGGAAAATAATGTCACGTTCTCAAATCCAGCCCTGGGGTGGTACAGCAGAGGCCCCTGGGGGAGGTCTTCCCCGCAGCTCCTAACAGCCAGTAATAGGAATCATGTTTGAATGTATTTAAGCTCTGCATTGCTCTTATTTCAAATGTAGCATTTTGCCTGGATTAAGGCAAGGGACTGTCTGATTCTTTGAAGGAATTCTGACATCTCGGTTTCCACAGAGGTGTTCCTAGCATGCCACTTGGTACTGCATGAGTGTTCAGACTTGTGTCACACTGTTGGCTAAATGTTCTGCTTTGTCATCACAGGTCATGCTTTTCTTATCTAATGACTTAGGAAAGAACTTCTGCTTTATTCAAAACATGAAAACCAACTTTTGTAGCTTACTTCAACCTTAAGTTTTTCAAAGTCCACCTCTTCTAGTTTTCAGATTGGTCTGAGAACAAACATTAAGTCCAGTAGGTTTTTAGATGAGGAGTTCTGTTTTTGTTTGTTTGTTTGGACATTTTTTGAAACATTAAGGCACTACATCATACCATTTTATATCAGGTCATGTTTATACCCTGAAATATTAAAAAAAACTCCATTAGTTTCTTGTACAACCTTATATCATGTTCTCCAGGAACATGAATTATATTTGGACTTTGGAGCACACAGCAAAAATTTGAATATCATTACTGAGTTCAGATTATTGTTTTGAGATAGGATTTCTTTCTGTAGACTTGGCGTCCTAGAATTCGCTCTGTAGACCAGGATGGTTTTGAACACACAGAGATTCTTCTGCTTTTCCCGAGTGTTGGGATTAAAGGCGTGTACCACCACTGCCTGGCTTCGTCTTTGACATTTCTGATTAACCAAACAGAGATCTATACATTGCTTCATTTATTCATTATTTAAGGGTAGGACATTCATCTTTTCCTGTTCATTTGGCTCTTTAAGTAGCATATACCCCCATTGTCTTCTGTGTACATCAGTGTCTCAAAAAGAAAAGGTGGCCCCAAACTAGACCATTGTGAATTACCGTTTCTTACTTTTCTAGCTATGCATACTTGGTAGCAATATTTTAATAGATTTGGTAACTTTAATAAAGCGATGTGTTTAAAGACTATCTAGGGCTGGTGGGGAGATGGCTCAGTGAATAAAATGCCTACAATGCAAACGTGAGGCCCTGAGTTCAGGTTCCTAATGCCCCTGTGAAAACCAGATGCAGCAGCATGCCTGGAACCCAGCACTGGAGGGGAGTGGTGCGGATGGAGACATACAGATTCCAGAGGCTTGCTGATAGCCCTGTCCAGCAAACAGTTCCCTCCAGACTCAGTGGGAGACCCTGTCTCAAGGAATAAGGTGGAGCATGACGAGAAAGACACTAACATTGACCTCTGGCCTCCACATGAGCGTGACACAGGCAGGTGCATCCCACAGACACATGCACACGCACACACATGCACACTCACTGGCATGTACAGAATGAATATATAAGTCTCTAATCTTACTGAACTTGCGGTGACCTTTGATGACTTGAGAGAGGTGTGTGTGCTCCAGATGTGAGCCACCCCCATGCTCTTGCAAATAACCTGGATTAAATCCAGGGGGTCACTTAGAGAAGAAAAGTAAATAGGAGGGGACTTGTTGGAAAGGGGTTCAGAGGGAGGAGAGTAAGAGAGGGTGATGGGAGGGATGGGAAACACTCATCATATACAAGTATAAAATTGTCAAGGAATAAAAATCACTTAACCCATCTGAAAGTTAGTAGGAACAAACAAGGGTAGCTAAAAGAAGTTACAGTGACTCACGACTGCAGTTGTGCTCTTCTGGTGTGGATTCATGTGCTCAGAGTGAGTCTGCTTACACACGCAGTCCATTAACCATGCTGCATGCAATACTGAGCTATGTATGTTTAGGGGTGGGTTTCCATGAAGCATCCTCTAGTTTTGACTAGGTCTTTACATGGGGAATCTCAGAAGTCACTGTGAACAGTGACTCTCGAGCTTTTAACACAACTGTGTATCACTCAGGGATGTTAGCGAATGTGGAGGTCCTGACCCAGTAGAACGGAGTGGAGCCCCAGAGCCTGCACTCCTCACAGATGCTCTCTCCTTCCCCCTCCCCCTCCCCCTCCCCCTCCCCTTCTTTTTCTTTTGACCTGGTGCAGGCAGGTGCTTTAACACTGTACTTTATACCTTTTAAATTAATTCTGAGACAGTGTCTCATGTCCAGACCGGGCTTCACCTTGTTCTATAGCCCAAGCAGGCCTTGAACTTGCAATTGATCCTTGAGACTCAGTTTCCCAAGTAGCTGGGGTAAGAGGCCTAAGCCACTGTGTAAGTCTTAATAATAAAAGCCCAGAGTCAGATATAGGGGAAATGCTGAGAGATCAGAGAGACAAAGGAGCAAAATCACAGGCACCTTACCTATTCAACTTCCAAGCCAAAAAGAGCGTGAGCTCCTGCCTCCTCCCACCTTATCACTTCCTGCCTGTCTGTACAGACCTCCAGACCTCTATGGTTAAGTAGTGGCTAGCTCCGCCCTCTGATCTTTATTTATACAGACAAGGTATCTCCACATTTCTAATTTTTTTATCTAAAATAAAAGGAAGGTTATAAATATAAGAAAAACTATATACAATAAGCACAATAACTATATACAATATATACTATATACAGGCAATAAATATATCAACAATGTCTAGTCCATTAATAATTGACAAATTCAGAGGAAATACTCCATATCTATCTTGTCTTGGGGAGTCCTAATTCACTTCCTATTTTAACTTGTATTATCTTTTTATGTCTTTCAACCTTATACACTTTACATTTCTTTATCAATTTTCCTTTTAGCCACTGAGCCATCTCTCCAGCTCCCAGTGAATTTCTTTTCTGAATCTAGTAACAAGGAAAACTATAACTATAAAGTCTTCAACTCCATGAGAGACCCTAGAAGGAAATAATATTACCTGAATAAGCAGGAAGTGCAAGCGAGCTACAGTCCAAAGAAAATTTGAGAAATGATAGAATCAGATGACTGCCTGGACAGTCACCCAAGGTTCCTCTGTGACATTGGGACATCCATCTTCAGCCTACAGGCCTAGCAAATCTGACAGACTTTTCTGTGAAGTAGGATATTATGAAGGACTTCCCTATCTTGTCTTGGCAAAGTTTGGCAGTCCTTTTTTTGTGTGTGTCCTGCTTGTCCCAATTTGGACAGTATACTGTCAGAAGTTGCTTGCCCAGTGGCTAACTTTTGCCACAAAGAAAGTAAACTCCAGGTGGAGTTTCTTTAATGCCGGTCATCTTCTCTCAAGTAGATTAGTGCTGCCAGGAGCAGACATGTATCATTGTCATATAAGAAAAAATAGTCTATGTTATTAAAACATCTTGGATGCCACATTCTGTAGATCTCTGAAGTGTCTGAAGATGGCTTATCTATCTAAACTGTATCTCTGTTTGACCTTGAAAACATACCTAATATGACTACAAGTTCAATTGTAATAGGTGACTAATTACTAACTTGCATTTCTTTTTATCCTAAATAGTTGGCAATAATAACTTTCAAGAATTAAATATTTGCATTACATTGTTAAGTGAGTTGCACAGGTACCATACCTGAACAAGATTAGAAATGTATGTACAGTATGTTCTAACAAAAATAACCTCAACTTTGTATTAATATACAAGAAATCCAAGCCAGTGTAAAATATTTAAAACTAGTAGTTGCTATTTTAGTTTAAATGTAGATTCAATAATCTACCTTATTATCCTATTTCTATATCCCCCTTGTTTTGTTTTCAGAGTAGATTCAATAATCTGCCCATATATCCTATCATAACTATATCTCCCTTTTCTTTTTTCAAAACAACTCTGAGTCTAATCTCCATTGTTCAACTTTCTTCCTGACCATAACCAATAACAACTTGTAACCAACCTACTTAAACAATGACAAATATCCATAACTCATTGAATGACCCCAAACCACCACCCCACCTCTTGGGAATGTGGGCATTGTGTTCTCAAAATTACTTCCTGCTGTATGGGGTCAATGGCATCTTTAGGTGATCCTGAAAGGAAAATTTTGGATTAACTGTCAAGTCCTGGGAGAGGTAGCTGTATCTTTTGTCATCCAGTCTCTTCGTAATGGGCAAGTCCAGGGCTTGTCTCAAGTCCTGGCTAGAGTAGTCTGTGAGGCTGGATCATCTTAGCTAGCCACCTGAGCAGTGTGTAGTCCAAAGCTGATCTTTGGGTGATATTTTTCAGCTTAGTAGTATTGTCACAGTCCTGGTGGAGTCATTGATGTGAGGACCCATTATTATTTGGAGATGTCAAAGGTTGCTGTTAGGCCTGGTCATGGTTCGCTGCAGAAAACGTAAACATTTTAAATGTCATATGTAACAGATCTCAAAGACAGTAAAAGATTATTATTTGTTATGTACATCTAGAATACAAAAACTTAATTCCTAGTTACTTGATAGAGACTCAAATTCAAAATCATGTAAGGGAAGCTAGATGAAGCCTTTTGCTAGCATTACTTAGTACTCTATATAACCATTCATATCATGACAAAAACCTTATAATATGTGTACATATAAATTTTGAGACAATATTTATACCTTAAGAAAAGCTTCAAAGGCTCAAAATAGCACCAAATGATTATGAGATTAGTGGAAATGAAATAGTCCTTTAATTTTTGTTTTCCTTCTGTCATATATCAGGCGGCTCTTCTGAGACAGAGATTTTGGATTTTACTTTAACAAGCATGCTTGGGTTTAGAGAAGGAGAAAGGCATACTCCAACTCCAAAGCCAGCTTTAATTTTTACTTTAACTGGGACTACAAAATGACCATTTGTATTATATTTCTGTAGAGAAAAGCAGAAACAAACATTTGCGAAGATTATGAAAATTTATCATGTTGGAGACATACTAATAGGTCAATTCACTCTTTTCCTTGGGACTTTTTATTTTTGGGCGTGGATGATTTGTCCTTTTTCTTCACATCTTTGTCCCGTGGTCTTTAGATTCCTTATCTGGATGCCTTCATTCTCCTGAAAAGACAAAAACAAAACCCTTCCTCAACCCTAATTTTGGGGAGGTTCCCTTAGGGCAGGTTATATCTAATCAAATGAAAGCATTTGCTAGTTTTAAAGTTAGTTTATATTGAATAATCATGCTGCTTGATTAACTATCACCTCTTCTAGTCAAGAGGTGTCTCTTGTTCAAATCTAATCTTTATGAATTTTGATGGTATCCATAGCTTTTCTTCTCCTGCGGAAACAAAAGCAAAACTGTGTCCTGGTTTCCGTTCTGAGGTCAGCACGCCTTTAAAGTGTACCGGCTGATTTAATCCTGTAGTTTTTCTGTTATCCGGGGTCTCTCCACAGCTGTTGTGCCTTGCTCATTAGTGTCTGGAGACTGAAAACTAATAAAGCACTATGTGATCCATTTTGGGTTCTTTATCAGCCCTTTCTGTTAATTTAGCATTTCCTTTCGAGTTCAACTTAATCTTTCTATAACTGCTTCCCTGTAAGGATTGTGTGGTGTACCTGTAATAAGCTTTATTTTGTAATAAGCAAAAAACTGTTTCATTTTACTAGAGGCATATGCTAGAAGCATTGTCAGTCTTAATTTGTACAGGTATACCATGATGGCCATAACTTCTAGCAAATGTGAGATTACAGAATCATCCTTTTCAGAACTCTAAGCAGTTGCCCATTGAAGTTCTGAATAGGTATCAATGGTGCACTGTACATATTTTTAATTTTTGGAATTCTACAAAATGAAACACATCCATCTGTCATATTTCATTACTTTGAGTGCCTTTTGGGTTGCTTCCTGCTGGTAATGGAGATTGGTTGTATAAAGAATAAGTAGGACATTTCCTTATAATTTCCTTGGCCTGTTGCCGAGTGAAAGAAAAAATGTTTTTTTAACCTTTGCTATTAACATGATATTTTTATGAAATTCTGAGGCTAAGAATTTCATAAATTCTTTCCTAACAATAGTTGATTAGTTTCTTCATTAACTTGTGTTGGAGGGCCTGGCAGAGCCGTATAAATATGAATCAGTAACTGTGTTGAGAGTTTTCATAAAATCCATTAACACCATGAGAATAGCAGCAATTCTGACTTTTGGACAGAGTCATAAGGGCTTTGGTCTACTTTACTTAAATTTTCTGATTTGTAACCTGCCTTTCCTGATTTATTTGCATCAGGATAGAATGTATGGGCTCCAGTTATTGTTTTTTTTCCTCACACTGCAAGGAAGACTCCAGTTGGTTCTCTTTATAAGATGAATTCTCTTGCTTTTGGGATAATTACTGTTAATCTCTCCCAAAAAAAATACTGCAAGCTCTTAGTCGGGGTTCACTTTCTGCCCATAGTTTGTCAATTTCATCATTAGTAAAGTAATTTCTGCTGCGTCTATTCTTGCTAATTGACCAAGTCTCTATTTTTCCTTTTAGAATCAACTCAGAGATCTTTTCCGCATCAGTTTTTAAGTCTTTCCTTTGCTTGCATGGTAAAATGATCCATTCTAAGATAATGACTTCCCTTTACAATAAAATTCCTGTAGAGGATGCTTGGAGGGAAATATGGCCAGAGTGCACCTAAGCTTCAGGTCCAGGTGAACCACATGTGCAATCTGTGGTTTCTCTTCTACCAAAGCCAATTCTGTCTCAGCTTCAGCTGTTAATTCCCTGGGACTATGCAAGTCCTTGTCACCCTCTAAGTTCATCAGGACCTATCCCAATAGTGGGCTACAGATAGGAAATACTGCCTAGCAGTCTTGGAAATTCATTATGAATCTGCAATCATATTTCCTAATTTCCACCTTTTGGATCTAATTTTTTGTAAAACTATCTTATAGCCTAAATAATTAATATAATTTCCTCTTTGTATTTTTTCAGGAGTTATTTGTAATTCCCAAGGCAAAATTTTCTTTGCTTCTTCCAACATTCTTTCTAAAATATCTACATTTTAATCAAATAATCAATTGTCATCCAATTGTCAAACTATAGATTGAAGAAATTGCTTATATATCATTTCCAATGACTGCTGTACAAAATATTGGCACAGGGTGGGGCTATTTAACATTCTCTGTGGGAGAACTTTTATTGATATCTTTTAGCAGGCTGAGAATTTCTTGTAAAGGTATACTGAAGAAATAATCTTTTAAATAAATAACACATCCTTTAGGAAATAGAGCACAAAGAAATTCCAGACCGACGAGAGCCCATTGACTGTATCATCTTATAATAGCTCTTAGATGTGTTACCATTCTCTATTTTCCAGATTTCTTTTTGACAACAAATACAGGAGAATTCCAAGGGCTGGTTGATTCTTTAGTATGCTGAGCATTTAGCTGCTCCTGCACCAGCTGTTCTAAAGCCTACAGTTTCTCTGTTGTTAAAGGCCATTGTTCAACCCATACAAGTTTGTCTGTCAACCATTTTATAAATAAGACTGTTGGTGCCTTTGAAAGATCAGCAGCTGTTGTGTCCTGTTCTTGTATAACCTGAATGACTAGAGACTATTCTTTATATTACCTTCTATTATTTTTCCCAGAAACATGTTAATTCATGTTTTGTTTCAGAGATTGGAGGAATATTAATCTGAGTATTCTATTGCTATAACAAATCATGTCCCCATAAATTCACTGCTATGTTAGCAACTTATGACTTTATTTTTCCTCTCTGTCCTTTTGGCCCTACACATTCGATCCATCTCACACTCTGTTTTTCCTGAGACAAGGTTTCAATCCCAGAGGCTGAACATTTGCCTCCTGAAGAGGCCAATTTGGATGCCAAGATTCTGGTGAAATTATTGTGACATTCGTACCTGTGTCTACAAGACTTCAATGACGTCATTTATTCATGTTTTTATTTTTGGTCTTTGCTCATTTATAGAACTTTGCCAAAATTCTCTCTTTATGGTTTTTCCTGAGTTTTTTTTGTTCTCTCTTCTATAGATTTTCTATCATCCAAAGCAGTATGGTTTCTTACAACAACCATTAGGTTTTTTCATTGCTCTGGGAAGGAGTTTCCTCCAAGTTTACAGGAACCATTGAACTGAATTTGGCATATTGGCCTGAGAGAGGCCCTTATGGCATTTCCTGATGGCAAAGGGTTAGCTTGGCTATTCCTTATTGACCTACATTCATTTGTCCAAGGCCTGTCTTTGCCATACCTTCTGCATACTCCAGATAGGAGGGGCGTTCTGTTTGAAATATGCTTACAAAAACATTGTTTCTAGGAATGCCCTTTTTACAGTCCCTTTCAAGGTGACATTGTTTTCCACAGTTGAAACACTTGACATTTCAATTTTTCTTCAAATCTCTGGAAATTTCCTCTCGTATCCATGCATCATCGTGGTCATGAGATTCAATATAGATTATATATCTTGGACCCATTCCTCCAAAGGTGCTGACCTTGCCTTTAAAGGCCTAATTATCCTTTTGCATTGAGAATTAATATTTTTCAAAAGCCAGATCTTCAATTATTTATTTGTCTAGCTTCTGGATCTGTTATCATTCTGTGTACTGCTGAAGTCAGTCTTTGTAAGAAATCCGTGAACGTTTCCTTTGGTCCCTGTATAACTTAGGTAAACAACTCAATTTTCTTTCCTACTTCTCCAGTTTAGTCCCAAGCATCTAAAGATGCTGTTCAGAATAAATCCAGGGTGTGACCATCATATAGAGATTGCCTTTGTACATCAGCCTAATCTCCCTCTCCAAGAAGTTTGTCTTGGGAGATTTCCATACCTACTTCATTGTGGAATGGTCTTAGCCTCATCTTTCTACCAGATCTTCCATTATAATCGGGGACCCGGCTCTAAAACATCTTTAACCAAGTATTGCCAATCTCTAGGGATAATTCTATTACAAGTTGAGCACAAGTTTAAAACATCTGCTTCACAAAAGGTGAATGTATGCCATATGAGACTATCATTTCCTTTTGTCTCTTTAACTCTAACATTTCCACAGGAGTCCATTTAGCTCTTGCACAGCCTTGGGGATATCTATCATTTGGCAGTTGTTCCTGTATGGTGACTGGATAAATTAAAGTTGGTTGTTTGAAAACCTTAGGGAGTTCCTCTATACCTTTATAAGGCAATGCTAAAATTGGTTCTCCATCGTACTCTTCTGTCTGGGTCTGAATATCTCTATGATCTGTTTTATTAACTTTTTTTGTATCCTGTGTCTTAGCACTCAAATTAACCAATGTTTTTAGTGATAAAACAAAAATAATAAAACTTATGTTGTTCATAATTGACATTACTTAAATCCCATCAAATTAGTTATCCTCTCATTTAATTGTTTCATTTTCAAACCATCCAGCGTATTATCATACAGAGACCTAAATTTCACAATTGTAATAGTGTTTCCCATTTTTTAATGTGGGAAAAACTCTGTCTCTCTTTTCTTAACTATTCCCCTCTTTAAAAATTCCCACTTGTCTCACCAAATCTGCTGACGAAGATGGCGGAGCTAAAAGCTGGGCAGCACATCTGATCAGAGAGGAACACAGGTGGTGTGCAGTCTGATCAGAGAACACAGGTGGGGTGCAGTCTGATCAGAGAACACAGAGAACACAGGTGGGGTGCAGTCTGGCTGAGGACAGGCATAGCTGGGAGCTGAGAGTAGCAGCCTGAGGAGAGGGGATCTAGGGAAAGCCAACAATCCACAGAGAGAGAGAGAGAGAGAGAGAGAGAGACAGAGACAGAGACAGAGACAGAGACAGAGACAGAGACAGAGACAGAGACAGAGACAGAGAGAGCTGTCTGAAAAGCACACTTGGGATTGTGTGGCAAGAGCAGCCCGAAGGCATTTGGAGCCCAGGTGCTTCTGGAGTTTGGATGGCAGCCAGAGAGGCTGTATCAGGAAAATCCCAAACTCTCTCAAAGGCTTAGGGAAAAGAAGAAATGAAAACCTAGCCAGGTGGGGTGGTGACTCCTGCCGGAGTCCAGAATGCAGCTCCAGCCTATACCTGTGGCTTTTCCGTGAATTCATGCCTTCAAGTTGGGCACCAATATGTAACATAAGTCTAATAGGTCTAGTAATAAAATTCCAGAGTCAGATATAGGTGGAAATGCTGAGAGACCGGAGAGACGAAGGAGCAAGCCACAGTCGCCTTACCTACTCAACTTCCCAGTCAAAAAGTCACTGAGCTCCTGCCTCCTCCCGCCTTATCACTTCCTGTCTGTCTGCACAGACCTCCAGACCTCTATGGTTATCTAGTGGCTAGCTCCACCCTCTGATCTTCAGGCAGGTTTATTGTACAAACAAAGTATCACCACACCACTAGGCACAGCTAAATGGACTCTTATGTAAAGAATTTAAAGATTTCCACTGTCCTGCTGAAAGTCTTCAGTGTGGCTCTTTCTGTCATTCTCTGAGGAGGCAGATTACTGTCTCCCCAGCTCTCTGTTCTGTCTCTCTTCTCTCTTCTCCTCCCTTACTCCCTAGCCCTCCCCCAATACACTTTCCACATAAAAAAGGAAAGTCTTCAATGTGTAATATAAAAGCCAATTCATGGGTGGGAGAGAAACAGCACCAAAATCATGAATTAACTTTACTGGTCATTTTATGGGGAAAGAGCAAATGCTTTATTGTTGGTATTTAAGAAAAATCTGTTGTTTTGAGATAGGCTCTTTCTATATAACCATGACTGAGCCAAACCAGGGATATCCTTCTCGGACTGCCACCTGCTGGGAAAACAGGCTTGGGTGGGTCACCATCACTCAAAGGTTGTCTCTGAAGCTGAGCTCGTGCCAGCTTGATTTCCCCCTCTTTCCTTTTCCAAATCCTTTTCAAGAAGACTTGGAATGTTAAAAAAACAAAAAACCTTAAACGTTCATGCCTGCCTGCCTTCCTTTTCCTTTCTTTCTTTTGACTGAGAAAGTTTGCTCTGCCCATATGCTCATGGGTACAGGGTCATCCACAGGACACAGGTGGGGTGGGAGGTCCTGGGTCATCCACAGGACTCCGGTGGGGGTGGTATGGGGAGGAGGTCCTTCCAGTGGCCATTCCACAAAGAAAAGTGACTGCTCCTCCCAGTAGCCGTCAACTCCAGGACTTGTCTGCTAAGGATTGGGCCTCATCTTGTGCAGGTTAGCACAGATGCTGTGAGTTCATTTGTGCAGCAGCTACACTGTGTGCAGAGGACGGCATCTCTCAGCACACCTCCATCCTTGTCTCTTCTTCCTCAATCCCTGGGCATAGTGGGTGCAGCCGACGTCTTTGGAGCAGAGGGTTTAAGCCCTTTGGCAGCTAGAGAGGAAAATGAGAGGGTAAACTAGAGAATGGAGCCCATCGAGAAGCCATCCCTTGATCCAGGAGAGAGAGGTGGCCTGAACTAAGGGAGGGGGATGGGCGAGCAGAAAAGGGTGCTTGCTCAACATTCAGGGTTCACTGACCTTGGTACTTGACAGCTGAGCCGGCTGTGATCTGAGGCACATCTAGGATGGCTGCCAGTGTCCCAGTGCAGTGACCGTGACGGCAATACCTTTCCAGAGCTGGGAGAGCTCCAAAGAGGAAGGACAAATAGTAATAACCAGTTAGAACAAAGACTAATGTTGGCTTTGTAGCCACTGTCTCCTTTGAATTTCCTGGAATTAGTGTTTAGTTTGAAAATTACACATTCTCAGACCTCAGCACACTTTTCCCTTGGAGTGCTGTATAGGCACAGATTCTCCAATTATTAATGTCTTTGAAGATATTCGTTTCATGAATATTTTAATGTTCCACTCAGCAGGCCATTTTCCTCCTGAAATATTTCTAATTTGAGGCTAACTGGAACAATTTTCCTATGTACTTTGGTAGGCTATTCCATTAATGCAGAGTAATTGCTGCTGCCTGAGTGAGCCAGCCCCTTTTCTAAACTCAGGCTTGAATTTAGAGAGAGAACTAGATGTGGATTTCCTACAATGGCTGTCAGCATCACCATCAGCCTCTGTACTAAATATTTCCTAAGTTCTTCTCACTCTGTGCATAACTATGGGGAATTAGATTTTGGTTGACTATTGAGGACACTTGTCACATAGGCAAATTTCTCTATTTTACAAGGAATTTCCATGTACTGGTATGAGTTCTTTAGCTTCATAGTTTAAAAGCAGTGTTTCATGTGTCTGCTCAAAATGGAGATAACAAAAAATTTTATGACAGCAGTTTATTTCATTGTCTCCATTTGACATTTAGAGTCAGAACTAATCAATAAAGTTGATATTTCCCCTCTGTCTTAGCTAAAAGAAGCAAATCATAGGCAACAGGTAAAATGCAGTATTAATAAGCCTTAATTAACCTTCAGAATTTTGACGGGTGACCGTATGTTGCCTGAGGTGGATGAACTCATTTGGGTAAAAGGTCCCTGTGAGGCCGATTAGCATCGTGTCAGGAAATCCCTGCTTTGTTGCCCTGCTGGTTCCATCTTTAGCCCTGGCTCCTGCCCATGAACGGGAGCCAGAGCTCACCCAGGATGAGGAAGGAATGAAAAACCCTTGCAAACCCATCACCATTATGTCCTCACGCTTCTCTTAGCCCATGCTAAGATTCGAAAGTTTGCTCTCCATATAAAGGTTTTGCTTTTTTTTTTTTTTTGGAAAGATTTATTTTTATTTATGTCTCTATGGGGCAGGGGGCATGTATGCCACACGCATGCAGATTCCCTTGGACATCAGAAGGGAGCATAAGTTCTTTTGCTGTTATTTCTCTGTGTATCCCAGGCTGGCCTCAAACTCAGAAATCTACCTGCCTCTGCCTCCTGAGTGCTGGAATTAAAGATGTACACCACCATTGCCTGACATGTTTTTTTTAATCGAGAAATTTTAATTACCACACCTAAATTTACTAAAATTCACAATAGAAACTTATTATTAATTATAAATGCTTGGTCAATAGTTCAGGCTTGTTACTAGCTAACTTACATTTTGAACTAATGCATTATTTCTTATCTATGCTCTGCCACGTGGGTGGCTTGGTGCCTTTCCTTAGTATGGCAAATTTATCTCCTCTCCACGTCTCCTCAGGATCTGACCTCCTCCCCGTTTTTCCTCGCACTCTCTTTCTCTCTCCAGTCCTGGCTAACCTCTACCTGTCCAGCTATTGGACAGTCAGTCCAATCACAGTGTCATATATTCACACAGTGTAAAGGGACATTCCCAGTCTTGTTCATTTCCCAGGACTGTGTAATGCGTGTACAAGTATATCCTGTTTTAAATTTTAGTGGCTGTAATACTCATGCAGTGCTTTGCACTGTTCTTCTCATATCCAATACATTAGTTACCATAGAGATGTAAGTGAGCACAGGGCCTCCACTTTGTAACTTTATTAGTGCTTTGAGAGTTCCAGGTTCCCCGCACAATGTGTCTAGTCACCCTCAACTCTTTCCAGACCTCCTCTCTTTTCCCTAAGCCACCCAACTTTGTGTCAAAACAAACCAACCTTTCAAGACCAGTTTGTGCTGCCCGAAATATTCTGGAGTGCGGTCTTCTGCTAGAGCATTTCTTTCCCAGATTCCAACAACTGCCAATCACTGCTCATCTGGGGGCGGGACGTGTGTCCAGCTTCCCTGTCTATCTGGGATTTGATCTGGTTTTGTGTGTGCTATCACAGCTGCTCTAAGTTCCGCTCTGGGGCTGCCCTGATGTATCCAGAAGTTGTTGCCTGGTTTTAATTCCTGCTCTTCCTCCTGCCTAAAGCAAGACACAGTGACATTTTATAAATCACGGGATATTACCACACACACACACACACACACACACACACAAGTACGTGAAAAGACAAGCTACGGATTGGAAGAAAGTATTTGTTGATCATATACTTGAGAAAAGTCTAGTGGTCAAGATATATAAGTAATGTAAGAACTACAAAAATCCAAGTACTTGAATAGCTTTCTCTAGAGAAGACAAATGACAAGCAAGCAGATAAAAAAGATTCCTAGCATGGTTAGTCATTAAGAAAATGCCAATCAAGACCAAATAAAACACTACTTTATCTCCACTAGGGTGGCTATAATTAAGTAAAAGAAAAACAGCAAATGTTGAGGACACGAGAACTCTCGCACATTGCTGGCAGAAAGTAAGTGAGTGTCTCAGTCCCTGTGGTATATCACTTGGGAATGCCTCCAAGTTAAGTGCAGAGGTTCTGTATATTCAGAAGAATTGAGATCAAGTACTGGTTGAGACAAGTCCTAGTATACAAATATTCATAGCAGCACTGTGCACAGTAGCCAGAAACAATCTAAATGTCCATTATCAGAATGTGGAACCTGAGCTAGGTGTGGTGACATCTTTAATCCTACCACTCGGAGACAAAGACAGGCAGATCTCTGTGAGTTCAAGGCCAGCCTTGTCTACAAAGTGAGTTCCAGGACAGCCAAGGCTGTTACACAGACAGACCCTGTTTCAAAACAACCAAAAAGGGGGGAAAGTGTGTAGGATCTGGGGGTAGAGGTGAGGTCATCGGGCTTGTGTGTAAGTGCCTCTATCCATTGAGACATCTTCTGGCCCAGGAAAGAGATTCTAAAATTTACATCCGAAATGAATTGGTAATGTTCAACACTTAGTATAAGACATTCATAATGGGAAATGATGGGGTCAATGATATAAACTCAGTGGTGACCCCGAGTTGCGCGACAGGAAGAATGAATACCTGGTGGTTTCAGAGAATTATTGGGGTGGTAAACTGTAGCTGTGTCATGGTCCTGGTAAACTTGGCTGAGTGGCAATGATGTGCCTGTGTAGATTCAGAGCAGCAAATGGAGCTTTCTGGTGTGGCGGCTAAAATATACTTTGAGGATGAAGTTTAAACCACCTGATTTAAATCAGCTGTGGAGGGTGGGAGGGGCTTGTCCATGGATGGGGCAAGGAGCATATGGGAAATCTCTGCCTCCCTCACTGTTTGCTAAGAACCTATAAGTCCTCTGAAAAAATAAGAAAATCTCTATATATTAGTTCAAACATTCCAATTTCCCTTAATTTTGTCACTTACTAGCTGTTGTAAAGAACTAAATCCTGGCATTTTCAGGAAAAGAGATAAAACTGGGAATCATGACGTTAGGTGATAGAAGCCAGGCCAGATACTTCTAGAATCCATGTATGGAGGAGGGGTACGAAGGGGAATCAGGAAGGGAGATGGATACATCTTAAAGGAGAGGGGGTAAAAGAGAGAGGTAATGCGAAGGGAAGACCAGGAGATACAAAGGAGCCAACCAGTCCGGGGAGGGGGTCAGCGAGGAGCAGATCAGTGGGGAGAACCATTGAGAGTAGATGATGACACTACAGAAAAGCGCTTGATGGAACTCAGCAGTTTTACTCTGTGAAGACTAATGTGAAGACTGATGACGAAAACGTGCGGATGAGTTGAAATCGACTCTTTTCAGAATGAAGTCCCCCCTGAAGAAGCCTGAGGTCAGCACAGTTTGAAAAGCACTCCCCTCCCTGCTCAGGAAGTGTGCACTGGAGCGTCTGCTCAGGAAGTGTGCACTGGAGCGTCTGCTCAGGAAGTGTGCACTGGAGCGTCTGCTCAGGAAGTGTGCACTGGAGCGTCTGCTCAGGAAGTGTGCACTGGAGCGTCTGCTCAGGAAGTGTGCACTGGAGCGTCTGCTCAGGAAGTGTGCACTGGAGCGTCTGCTCAGGAAGTGTGCACTGGAGCGTCTGCTCAGGAAGTGTGCACTGGAGCGTCTGCTCAGGAAGTGTGCACTGGAGCGTCTGCTCAGGAAGTGTGCACTGGAGCGTCTGCTCAGGAAGTGTGCACTGGAGCGTCTGCTCAGGAAGTGTGCACTGGAGCATGGCCCACAGCCGCGGAGCACAGAATAACCATGTCTGCATGCTGTGCAGCTCTCATCTTGGGCAGGTCTTCACACTGTGTTGAGACCTCCACGAAACCCTGTGGTCCCCGTGCTGGCCTCTGATCCTGACCAGTGTGACGGTGTGTTCCTGGGTGGGACTTTTCTCTCCCCTGGATGCCCCTCCCCCAGCCTATTCCTCTAGTGACAAGTTTTTGTGTTTTATTTGCCCCTTTCTGAGCATCCTGCCACTGCCAGTGACTCCATTAAAAGGAGGATGTAGGAAAATCCCCACATGTGCTTTCGCAGTTGCTGAGTATATTGGAACATAGCATAACGCATCTAGCCAGCACCCATAGGGAAGCATCAGTTTTGTTAGAACGACACCATGAAAAATGCTGCAGCATATGTCACCTCACAGGTGGCTAGAGAGGGACTTCCTAGAGAGGGAGTGGTCAGGGCGGAGGTGAGCATTTGAAATCTTACTAAATGTGGCCAGGTTTTCTCGTCCCTCCCTTCCTCCCTCCCCCTCCCTCCCTCCCTCTCTCTCTCTCTCTCTCTCTGTCTCCCTCCCTCTCTCTCTTCCCCCCCTCCTTTCCTCTCTCCTCCCTCCTCTCTCTCTCTGAGACAGGGTTTCTCTGTATACCTCTGGCTGTCCTGGAACTCTTTTGTAGACCAGGCTGGCTTCCAACTCAGAGATCTGCCTACTGGGATTAAAGGTGTGTGTCACCACGGTCCGGCACCAGATTCCTTTCTGTGGTGTTTTTTCCATTTGTACTTTCCATTCTTCTCGTAGAAGACAGTGAGGTGTCTCTTCTTCATGGTGACCCCAATACTGTGGGTTCAGTGAACACGTGAGAGATGTGAGAGCTTATCTCAGTCTTATTTTGCATTTCTCTTCATCTTTAGAGAAGCTGGGCATCCTTTTTCAAAGTTATTTTAAGACACAGCTGCCCCTGAAGCCCTGCGGGCCCTAGACCCAGGTTTGGGTTTTGTTCATTGGTTTAACTGGACTCCTTCATGCTCTCTTTCAGCCTGAAAAGCTTCCTGTTCTGCAAAGTTTGCTCTGTATTTCTTCCTTTTCTCTTTTCTGTGGACTCTTTCCTTTCTTTGTTGACTTTGTGGTTTGGATTTTATTCTTTCTTATCTTGTTAAAATGTTCAATCTGGCGCCATTTGCTGTTTGCCGTAGCTATACTAAGAACAAAGGTTAATGTAAATGCAGACTTTGGGTCAGTGAGTCTCTGAGAGCTTATCCGTTGTAAGAAATGTACCACTGTGCAGGGGATATTAACAGTGGGGGAGGCTGAGCAGGTGTGAAGCTTATGAGATTGTCTCCTTACACCCATCAACCTAAAACTGCTTAAGAGGTTGATTTTAAAGGGAAAAAAACGGCAGTCATGTTTTCAGTCTTTTGTCTATTTTTGCAAAGATTCTTTTTTATGCCTGCAAGTATAGTATAATCCCATGCCATCTCTGGGTGGACAGGCAGCACTGCCTAAAAGCTCTCCTCTGCTTCTGGGACATGTACGTATGTGGCTGTGTTCAGGCTGTCAACACAAAGCTGATTGAGAGCCCTGAGGAAGTAGGTCAGCCTGTGAGCTCAGCTATCACATCAGGGGTCCTCTGCCCAGTGAGAGAAGGGCTTGCTTCTGGGCACTAGTATTTGGTGTGTCCTCTATTCAAGTTCTCTCTGGGTTGCTCCCTTTCTCTCTGGTCTCTTGTCTGGAAAATTAAGTCAAGTCTTGGCTGCTAAGCATTTTGTCTGGGGGAAAGGGATTTTGTAGGAAGGCAGAACCTGACCCATGTGTGCCTTTAAGCCATTCAGCTTGTTTTTATCTTTTCGTTTTAGCTCCTCCCTGATCAACCACATAATTTAATTTCCTGTGCCATGCTCAATGCCCCCCACACAGACTATTAAATGCAATTTTATGGTTTGGAAAGATCTTCCCTAGGACATGTAGATGGTTTTGAAGAGAAATGGAATGACAAAGAAGACAGTAGTAGACTATTCGCCATGGTCTTTTGCTGCTGCTGTTTACCTAGAGCTGCCTTCCTGATCGCTACTTTGTTCTGTTTCGCTTTGGGCACTGACACAAACTGTAAAACTGAAGTCAGCATATAATTTCACCAGGTCTTCAGGGAACCTCCACACTAACTCTAGTGACAAGTAAGAGGAAGTTTTAAGAACAGACAGCTTAAGGAAGTTTGAAACAGCTCTTTCTCACCCTAATTTTCGGTTTTTCTCCAGATGTGTAGGGGGCGGTTTGGTAGTTCTCTTTCCATGTGAAGTGGTGATAGTTACAAATGCTCTAAAGTAGACTGATATCATTGCTTTTATCCAGATATTGAATATGAGAATAAATGATCACCAAAAAAAAAAAGCCAAGTGGTGGTGGCTCATATCTTTAATCCCAGAACACTGGAGGCAGAGGCAGACAGATCTCTGTGAGTTTGAGACCAGCCTGGTCTACATAGTGAGGTCCAGGACAGGCTCCACAGCTCCACAGAGAAACCCTGTCTCAAAAAACCAAAGAGATGGGGATGGGGGGTGGGGAGGGTAGGGGATGGGAGGAAGGGAGGGAGAGAGGGAGAGAGAGGGAGAGAGAGAGAGTAATTATCTCCTTTGTATGTGGTGAGGGATACGGTAGTCTGACTTTTCTGATAAAACTCAATGGTTAATGATATTCTGATTTCTTTGAAATCTTTCACAAAAACAAAGATTCTATGATTCCTTGAGGAACTATGTTCTAGATGCACATAAAGACATCTTATCTCTTTAAAAAATAGGAGCAGATGTCTCAAGTGTTAGATGCCATGTTTGAAAAATTGGTCAAAGAAGGGGAGCATGTAATTGACCAAGGTGATGATGGTGACAACTTTTACGTCATTGATAGGTAAGTTTTATCCAGCCTTACTACTGAAGCTTAGAAACCGATTATGTAAAATCTCAGCATTCACCGTGACAACCAATAGGTTAATCCGATGCCTGTGGCTTCCCTGCACTCTGCCACTCTGTAATGGGCACTGTAAATGTCTCGTGAATATACACAACAAAGCCAGAGCTTATAGAAGTGAATTGTTGAGTCTTAATCACTAGTGTGCCTTGATTTGCTAACTCCCATTTGGCAGGTAGAAAGTAATATTGCCATGTAGTAGATGCCTATTACAGTGAGAACAGGAAGAAGGTACGACATGGATGCCGGGCAGTGTGGTGCACGCTTAATCCCAGCCCTTGGGAAGCAGAGGCAGGAGGATCCCTGTGAGTCTGAGGACAGCCTGTTCTACAGAGAGAATTCCAGGACAGCCAGAGCTGTCACACAGAGAAGCCCTGTCTCGAAAAACCAAACAACAACAACAAAAGATATGGCATGAAGTGTCTAAGTGTGGTGTAGCTAGCTCACTTGGCACTGCTGTTTTTAAAAAGGTTTTATTAACTATGAAAGAACTCAGGTACTCCAGAAGGTGTAAGGGAAGGAGGAAGCCATTTTTTTTCTGCTGTTTTAGCATCCTTTAGTTAGGAGAGTGAGCAGCTCATGCCTCCTTACAGACATTGTGTAGTATTTCACTGGTGCTTTAAAATGTTTCAGGTTTTTTGTTTTGTTTTGTTTTTGGATTTCTTGGGGGGGGTGAGGGAGGGTGAGACAAGGTTTCACTATGCAGCCCCTGGCAGGCCTGGTACTTGCTATGTAGACCATGCTGGCCTTGAACTCATAGAAAATATTTTATTAAACAGAAAGTATATGCACCTATTTGTATTGACAATCAAATTGTCAATTCTTAAATCTTAAACTGTGTTTTACTTTATTGGAGAACAGTATGGCCTGCACGATGAACAAATGAACCTCAAACCATACTTTAGCTTATGCTGGGCAGGGTATTTCTTCACCTTGTAGAGTGGAGCAGAGTTCACGAGGCAGTCCCTGTCCCTAAGCTGGCGGGTTTTGTGTCCATCTGATAGAGTTTTGCTCCACTGGATAGAACTGTGTTTAGCTGATAATTAGACCCATTCTGTCCCCTTGGGACCCCTTTCCTAACCTTGGCCCTGTTTTCTTTCATACATGAGCTGTGTATGCCTTTCAGTCCCTGGGTTTGCTCATTTCTCTGTCCCTGTCCTGGTGCCTGAGTAGCCTATTGCTGCAGCTCTAGCCAGGGTTAGGGAGAGAGCTAAACCAGGATGTGTTTCCTGGTGTCAGGCAGAGTCACAATTCTGGTGTTGAAACAGCTTTCACCAACAAAACAGCTTATAAACACGCTTAAGTTTTTTCACTGAATTGTAGGTAAGAAGTGTAGGTTTGGTCCAGCATTGATCTTCCATTCAGGAGATAGTTTTAACTCTAAAGCCTGCTTTGCACTCGAGCACTGTATATTCTCTTTCGGTTAGATCCTAATTACCGGCTGGCAGATGAAACTCTGGCTCCCAGAAGTGACGGGGCTTGACTGAGGTCACCCCGAGAGCCAGGTCCTCTGCCACCCACTTCTGTTCATGCTCATTGCTCTGGCCTGCACTGCCTGAAGCCTCACGAGGTCAGGAAGGGAATCTGTGTGAACAGCAGCCCGTCTGTCTAACAGACTTCCACTGATGGCCCCCGGCTGGGCTGGGCTGGGCTGGTAGCGTGTTATTCATTTTATCCTATTCAGAATGGTAAATCCCGAAAAGACTGTCAGTGACAAAAATACAAGGGGAATAAATGGCAGATTTAAAAATAATAGTTTGAAAAGTATTATCCATGGGACAAGTTCTAGGATGTATCCTCGTGGGCATCATCCTGTCCATGAACTATATTAAAGACAGTTTTCTCCCATAGTAACATAGTTTTTCTTTGCTACTTGATGACCCTTTCCTAATGCTTAAAAGCTGCCCCCTCCTTGCCACTGCCACATCTTTTTTCTAGGGCTTAGCCAACAGGATATAAAGAGCGTCCCTTGCCTGCCTCACAGGTGTGCCAGCCTCATACCGTGCTTTCTGTCCAAGTATAGTGTGTGGGGAGGCGGTCCGGTGCAGAAGGCCCGCGGTGCGTGTAGGGCTGCCCCTGAGCACGGGGACCTGCACGCGGAGTCTGTCCGGTGTGGGGACCCTGCATGAGGGCCAGCCAGGGGCTTGGTGTGAAGAAGGCTCGCCACTTCTTAGTTGCAGTTTGGGGTTGGCCTAAAGTAAGGGTCAAGGAGGGCATGTTAAGAATCCCATTCTGCTTGTAACTCAAACCAACTGTGTATAACAAATAAAGAAAAAGTTTGTTTGTTTTCTAATAAGACTTTTTTTTTTTTGCAAACGCTGGCAGCTATCTGGGGTACAGTTCCCACTATAGTTTATAAAAGACTTGTCAGCAAATTGTTAGATCTATATTCTTTTAAAAGGTAGCCATTTTTTTCTAATCCCAAAAGCAGTATAACTTGCTCTTATCGGTGGGTACAGCAGGCAACAGCAAATCAGAGTGTACCGGATTCTTCTCTGCATCAGCGTCTCATTGTGATGAAATGTTACCTGACTCTCTTTGCCTCTGTTTCTTATGAATTTGTATATGTCCAACAGAGGTACATTTGATATTTATGTGAAATGCGATGGTGTTGGAAGATGTGTTGGTAACTATGATAATCGTGGGAGTTTTGGAGAACTGGCCTTAATGTACAATACACCCAGAGCAGCTACAATCACCGCTACCTCTCCTGGCGCTCTGTGGGGTTTGGTAAGTAAAATGTTTGCTTGATCTAAATCTTCCTTTCTTTCTTTCTTTCCTTCCTTCTTTCTTTCTTTCTTTCTGTCTGTCTGTCCTTCTTCCTTCCTTCCTTCCTTTCCTTTTTTGCAAATTATCATGACAGTAGATAAGGCGGGCGGATACCCTGAAGCTGTATTAACTTTTAATCAGTAGATGACTTATGACTACGAGTCATTGGCATTTATTGACCATCTGCTAGATGCTACACCGGTGGACACAAAGATTTATGTCCAGTCTCTCCCCGAGTCGGGATCTTGAATGTGCTAGCCCTTAGAATGGCATCAGACCCAAACTGTTCCTCTCTTACCCACACTTAAAAAGAGTGAACCACCGCAGCCAGAGAGATGGCGCAGTCAGCAAGGTGCCTGCTGCTCAAGAAAGAGGATCTGAGTTCAGAGTCCCAGAGCCCATGAAAAAGTCGGCACAGTGGCTTGTGCCCCTAACTGCACACAGAGGGGACATGGAGAAAATCATCCCTGAAGCTCGGTGGCTAGCCAGTCTAGCCAAGTCAGTGAACTTGAGGTTCAGTAAGAGACCTTTTCTCAAAGGTGGAGTGTAGCACGAGTAATAAAAACACAGAGACAGATATTGGGGTTCAAGCTGAAGATCAGAAAAGTAAAGCAGCCAGCCACTAGAGAGTTCTTACCTCTACCAGGGCTCAGACGAAAAGGGTGATCCTGTCCTCAACGTGACTGCAGACTGGCTCCTGTCTCCTCCTGTCTTTTATTCCGCTCTAGTGCTGATATTAAAGGCACACACCACCGCCCAGCCTCTGTGGCTGACTAGTGTGGCTGCTGGGATTGAAGGTGTGTGCCACCACGGCCTGGCCTGTATGGCTGACTAGTGTGGTTAGCTTTGCACTGTGATCTTCAGGCAAGGTTTGTTTGTTAGATTATAAACAGACTGTCACCACAATAGTCAGGTAAATTAGTGGTTTTCAGCGTGAACAACCGAAAGTCTCAACTGGAGACTCGTTAGGAGCACACACGCTGGGCCCCTTCCACCAACTCTGCCTCCTGCCCCGAAGGCTCTGAAGAGGCGCCAGCACACCCGTACTCTCGGGAGCCTTCCATCCGATGCCCATGTTGCTGCCATTTGAAACAGCCCTAAAACAGTTCACTTGATGATTGATTGGTAATGTGTTTGCACCCCAGAGCAGCCATGTGGAGTCAAAGTGTCTGTACCTGTACTTTTCATTTGAGATACTAAAGAAAAAATCTTGCCTCCATCCTACACAAAAGCAATCATCCTCCTGGGAACTTTGAGATGTCCCTAATCCAGAACTTTTTGAGTGCCAACCTCATCCTACAAGTGTAGAATCCCATACATGTTACAGGTCAGTCAAAATGCAAGCCCATTACGAGTACTTATAGATTACCTTCCAACCATGCATATGAGATACACATGAACTATGGATTTAATCTTTACGCTTGAGACATGCTCCCAAACTATTTTGTCAGGAGTTTTCAATATCTGGGCAGAGTGAGTATGGATGTGGTTGTATCTAAAATCTGAAATACCACTCACCTCAAGACAACAGATCCTCAGTCTGTATCCTTACGTAAATGTCTTAATGGTAGAAATTCTGTAAAGAGTGGTTCATAGACACATTGGCTGAGGGGCTTGAGAAGGGGCAGGGGCTCTTTTCACGTGTGCAGAACCGAACCACTGATTCTAGAAGGCTCCCCTGGGATGCACTTACCACCCTGGAGTTGTTCAGCTTGCAGTTCTGTGGGTCTAGGGTGAGCTGATATGCCTAGTCAGTCAGCTCCCAGATGTCCTCACTGCCTGTGTCTGTCAGTCAGTCAGCTCCAGGTGTCCACACTACCTGTGCTAGTCCAGGAGGTGTCCACACTGCCTGGTGTCACATTTCACTGCAGGCAGTACTGATTGACTTTGTTGCAAACACAAAAGCAGCATATCCCATGTTCTTGGCATGCAGCTGGCAGGGACGCATTGGAAACTGGGCCTCCTGAATTTGTCGGGTCACAGTGGGTGGGAAATGGTAGGCCATTAATAGTTCCTCCTGAGAGATAAAATTCATGATTTATTTCTAAATGGCTAAACTATTTCAGGCCTTCTCTGTTTTAATGAAAACAAAAAAAAAGTCCATGAAATGTACCTACTTCCCAAACCTGACTATACATGATAATCACATGGTACACTTTTATCGATGTAAATTATGTAGAGATTTTGAGTCACTCAAAGTCTTTGGTTTTAGAAATTACCTCAGCAAATTTTGATGTACAGCCAAGCTTCAAAAGAGCTTAATATTTTTGTGAGTTAACTCATAAAATAGACTGTTATGACATGTGCTTTTTCTTTTGGTTTTGTTTTTTGTTGTTGTTGTTGTTTTGGGTTTTGGGTTTTTGTTTGTTTGTTTTGTTTTGTATGAGACAGGGTTTCTCTATGACTTTGGATGCTGTCCTGGAACTCGCTCTTGTAGACCAGGCTGGTCTCAAACTCACAGAGATCCACCTGCCTCTGCCTCCTGAGTGCTGGGACAGTGTGCCACCACTGTCCAGCATGCATTTACTTTTTATCTTGTGTGTTAATGGACATGTGTGGCGGTCACTTGTGTCCTGGTAACTGAACTCAGGTCATTAGGCTTGGCAGCTGGTGCCTTTATCTGGTGAGCCGTCTTGCTGGCTCAGATCCTCACTTTTTAAGACATTAGTACAATCCAGAGCACAGCTGGCATCAAAACAGTAATAACCTAACTTGGGAAACAGGATGTTTAATCTCCCCGTGTCTCAATTCTGTCTGGCTGTTACCACAAGCCACCACAGGTGGTGCAAGCACTCACATCTCGCTGTTTTGGAGGCTAAAACCACAAGCACTGTTGGTGCTTAGGGCCAGAGGTTGTGGGACTATTTACTTAAGAATAAAAGCATTTTATGAGAATTTTTGCGACATAAATTTTTTTGGGGGGAAAATAGCTTTTTGAACTGTTATGTGTAAACATTTCTAAATTAAGTTCTGCCTTTTGGAGATCATATAAACATGAATGAATTTAGATTGTAAACATGATGAAGTCTGGGCTAAGACCCAGTCAAGAATATAATTTCTCTGTACCTTCATTTTCAAAAAGAAAATTCTGATAATATGTGGGTATGAAAGATAACCTAATAAGTATATATTTTTGTTGTGGTGGTGGTTTTTGTGGAGTTTTTCTGTGTAGCCCTAGCTGTCCTGGAACTCACTCTGTGGGCCAAGCTAGCTTCAAACTCAGAGATCCACCTGCCTCTGCCTCCCAACTGCTGCGATTAAAGGTGTGCAACACCATTCGGCTTAAATCTGTATTTTAAGAATGCTTACATTGTCAATTCTTTATGGATGACCTCTTTTCAACTAGTGTTTCTTGTAGTTTTTACTTCAGTGTATGCATAGTTCAGGAATATCACATTAAATTGTGTCTGTGACTGACTTAAAGAATGTACTCCAAGACTGTCTGTCCTGTTTTACTTTTTATAAAACTCAGGTCTGGTCATGTGTACTTAATTGATTTTGCAACCCTGCCATCTACAGTGAGGGAATGGTATTGGTATAATTTTTTTATAATGTGACAGTGCCTCCTTGTGGGCATAGAGCCCAATGTGCTGGTCAAAATCTGTATGTCTAAAGCAGTGGTTCTCAGTGGCCCTAACACTGCGAGCCTGGGACACAGCAGTGGTTCTCAGCCACCCTAACACTGCGAGCCTGGGATACAGTTCCTCATGTTGTGGTGAACCCCAATGATAAAGTTATTTTTGTAGCTACTTCATAACTAATTTTTCTACTGTTATGAGTCATAATGTAAATATCTGATATGTGACCCATGTGCAAGGGTCATTCAACCCCCAAAGGGGTCACTACCCACAGGTTCAGAACCACTGATCAAACGAATACGCCTTCCTTCCTTCCTTCCTGCCCTCCCTCCCTCCCTCCCTTCCTCTCTATGTCTGTCTCTTTTCTTTTCTTTTTCTTTTTCCTTCTTTTTTTCTTTTTGAGACAGTGTTTCTTTGTGTAGCCCTGGCTGTCCTGGAACTCGCTCTGTCAACCACGCTGGCCTTGAACCCACAGATCCACCTGCTTCTGCCTCCTCGATGCTGGGGTTAAAGATTTGTGCTACCACCACCCAGTTGAATGCTTCTTTTTCTAAGAAAATAAAGAAAAGAAGATTTATATGGTAAGTTTTGTGCCCAAAGAAATTAGGTGACAGTATAATCATGCTTTAATCTTTTATTTTAAAGTCTTCAACTACTGTGTATACCTTGAAGGAAATGAAACTATTTGTTCGGATCTTAACTGCCTTTGTATTTGCTGCTCTCTCTTTAGGACAGGGTAACCTTCAGGAGAATAATTGTGAAAAACAATGCCAAAAAGAGGAAGATGTATGAGAGCTTTATCGAGTCCCTGCCGTTCCTCAAGTCCCTGGAGGTGAGCTGTGTTTGTGTTCTGCTGCTTTGTCTGGCATTCTGCTAAGTGGCCCCGCTGACAAGATAGGCCAGCGTGCAGGGAGCCGCAGGTCCCACATAAGGGTGCAATGGTGTACCCTGACCACCACACACGGCATGCACTGTAGTACTCCTCACTGTAACAACGACAGTGCTAACAGTGATTTTTAAAGTCTATTCATATTTTTTATGAAAAGAACGGACCGTGACACTAGGTTTTATTGCTATTTCTTTTACTAGCTATAAGTACCTTTAATTCTGGTTATTTGAAAATAAGATCTGGACTCTATAGCAAATTTGCAGGTGCCATTTATTTGACAGCAGACAAGAAATCAAAACATAGTGAAGAACTAACTACAGGTTATCCCTTTCCATGGAGGAGCGACCTGAGCACGGAAGCCCTCCCCACCCTGCCCTGTCCCGCCCCTCACCGCCCCGCCCCTCACGCCCTGCCCCGCCCCCAGGCCATCGCTATTGCTTGTTCCCATTCCTCCCTGCTGCTGAAGTTTGCATTCCTCAGTCTTAGTTTCTTCTCAGCATAGCCACACTTGGTATATGAGCATTTGAAATATCAACCACACACATTTCAAATCCATGAGCTGTCTACACACCAATAGCTCCTAAAGTTGCCATCACTGTACTTATTCAGCTCTTCTGTCAGATACCCTGTGCACATCCTTACCTGGACCAGATGCCCCAAACCCTCCTCTTTGCTCTTTATCTCAGTTACTTTTCTGTCTTTGTGATAAGACAGCCTGACCAGGCAACTTATAAAAGAAAGCATTTAGTAACTTGGGCCCTCGGTTTCAGAGGCCATGATAGCGGAGAAAAGGCAGCAGAACAGCTGAGAACTTAGTCTTGATCCACAAATAGGAGGCAGAATGAACACAGGGAATAGCCTAGTCTTCTGAGAGCCCAAAGCTTGCCCCCGGTGACTCTCTACGCCAGTCACATTTCCTCAGCCTGCCTACACCAGCTGGAAACCTATGGGTGTCACTCACTGGAGTTACTGTACTGCTCTTCATTTGGAAGGCACTGTCTCTGTCATTCTGTTGTCTCAGGGCAGACACTCAGCTTTCTCCCCACCAGTGGCCAATTCGGTGGCAGCCTCCTCCACCCTGTCTTCAGAGCAGCTGCGACACCCAGGCATCCTCCATTGCCGTCACCAGTGTCACCTTCTGCTTGTATGACTTACATCACCACCTACAGCATCCCGTGAGCCACAGACCATCCCAGCCTGCTGTGCTGAACCCTCCCAGGACGGGATAACTTTGAAGGCTGCTGCTGAGGACCCTGCCCCCTACACACACACACACACACACACACACACACACACACACACACACACACACACCCTGCCATCTGTACCTCTCTGACAACATTTCTGACTGCTCCACAGACATCCTGCCACAGACAATAGCTTCTTGCTGTTGCACCAACAGCTGTCTACCTCGAGCGGCCTCCTGCACAAGCCCATGTCTGCCCCAGAGTCTTCTCAATGAGATCCATTGTTTCTTATCTCTCAGGGCAGACACCTGTGAAAGAAATGTTACCTTAAGGATTCAGCTTTGCCATAAATTCATTGCTAAGTGTTTTTTCTGGACATTTTATAAAGCCTCATATTTGAACTCTCCTGAAAGTGGTTATAGAAAAGTAGACGTACTTAAGGTGGCATAAAATGGCGCACGTCAGCAGCAGTGTCTCTTTAGGGTTGCAGGTGTATGCCTGGAGAACCTTGACCACATTGTGGAATGCACAGGCAGTTGGTTTTTCTCCCGCAGCTCCCATCCTCAAATAGAACGTGTCAGGGAGGCAATCCAGCCAGATTGAGGCAACCCAGTAAGGGCCTTTGGCAAACTGAAGAGTGCGTGCTCCCTGGAGGGAGCTCTGCCATCCCGCAGCGGCATTACTGCTACCATTCTGGAGTTTGGGCCGGGAGCTTCCGAGTCTTCTGGTATTTTATGAAAAACTAGAAATACACATTTTTCTATTTCAGAATTCTAGCAGTTAATGTAACAACCACAGAAGCAAACACTGGTCAGTTTATTTAGCAGTATAGGTTACTCCTTTTAAATGTGTAAAATAGGTATAAGATTACCTAATTGTATTACTCAGGGAAGAGAGAATTTATATAATATATGGTGATATATAACATATTATATATGTTCCTATGGTGAATATGTAATATATATCACATATATGTGTATATGGGGTTTTGTTAGAATGACTTACAGGCTGTGGTACCGCTAATCCAACAGTGGCTGTCTATGGATGGATAATCTAAGAATCCAGTAGTTGTTCTGTCCATGAGGCGGGGTGTCTCATCTGGACTTCAAACAGAATCCAGAAGAAGTAGGCTCTAACTGCCAGGGAAGGAATGGACTTCCTGGGAAACTGGGGGAGCTGCCCTCGTCCAGGTCCTTTGTATAGACTGCAGCAGACGGTGTGGCCCAGCTTAAAGCTGTGTCTCCCCACTTCACATGACTTGATGAAGGAAAATCCCTCCCGGGTGTACTCAGTCACTTGGGCTTCCGTTAATTCCAGATATAGTCAAGTTGCCAACCACGATCAGCCACTGTGGTCTGCTTCTTTCTAATACTTGTTTTCTTTGTAGGTCTCTGAACGCCTGAAGGTGGTGGATGTGATTGGCACCAAAGTTTACAATGATGGAGAGCAGATCATTGCTCAGGTGCGATACCGTGTTAGTCAGTTTAGGGTTACAGTCTAGAGCGTCTTAGAGGTCCTGTTAAACCTGTTTAATAGTTAGTATGCAATGCTGGATTAAATGAATATTATTTCTCCCAAACAATTTACTAAAAATGCGTTTACAGCCTGTAAGTAATTTGGATGTTTTTGTTTGTACAATTTACCCCTAATGAATATGCATTAAACAATTATCTGACTTTCTGAGTAGTTTTACAATTTGTAACATGAAATTCACATGTACAGGAGGAAGAAGAGGTCTTATATAAAGGGGGAAAGTGGTGGCTCTCCCATGAAGTTACTAAGAACCCAGATCCATTGGGAGATGAAAAGGAATTCTGCATGATCAGTTCTTGAGACCTCCTGAGGCCACTTCCAGATAATTCACTGAGAAGAGCTCACAGTGCACTAACTCCAAGTGAAGTCTCTAACCTCAGGCTTTTCCAACATCCCAGTGCCCAAGTCAGCCAGAGGGCGCCTAGAAAGCAGGTTCACAGACTGTGAAACATGCACACCACTTGAGGGGATTTCTAACATTCTCTGTGTTTTTTTATCACAAGTCTACTGTATTATTCTGTTTGTATTATCATCTCTTCCTTTACATGTGAAATAAGATTCAAGGGCTGTTTGAAGAAAAGACCACTGTTTAGAAGGCAAATAAGTATCTGTCTGTCCCTACCTACACCGCTCATGTACACACACAGTGTAATCAAATTAGAGTGTTAAGTGGGAAATAGCAAAGTCTGGCATACTTTTCAGATGCTTATATTGGTTTGGAAGTTTATTGTTGGCTGAACCAAGCATCTTATCATACATGCTAAGCATTTACGCCACCACTGAACTATAGCTCTGGGCTCTCACGTGCTTCTTTGTAAGTTCATGTTCTGACAGACAGATTACAAAAAGTATTGGGAGTTTGCATAGACTCTCAGTTTCTCTGAGTCCATCTTGTATCAAAACTAGAAAAGTGACATCGGCACAGCCCACAGGCTGGACTTGGGTTTCACTGGAGTTCTACAAATGTTTGTAGCACATTCCCCCAACAGCTGGCACGCCTACCAGGAGCCATAGAACTCAAGATTTTAGTGTGACGGTCTCATAAAAACTTGACATGAGCGCGAAAGAAGGGGCCTCGCGGAGCAGCTTAGAGTAGACTGCGTTGTGTGCATATGCGGGGCTTTGAGTCATCCCCTAGCAATAAGCACGTAATTAGCTATATTTGCATTAAAGATACCCTAGCTTCATTCCCTAGCAAATAAATAGCTGAGTTTTGTTAAGGATACCATTGCATACTGTTTTGAGCATTATTTTAGAAATCTAGGCCTAACATTTATTTTTGTGATGTGATCTGTGGTTTTGTTTGCGGTCCTAGAGATAAAAGTAAAAGTCCGGCACTTGAGTGTGTTTGTTGTGATACCGTCTCATGTTGTCTTCCATTCAACCCAAGAGGTTTTCAAATGTTGGTGTTTCTCTGGATTTACCAGAAGGACGTTCACCGGTGAATGAAATCTTCCACAGCATGTTTGGGGAGGAGCGTTAGAAGTGCTGTGTTTCTGGTTAGACATGGCACCTGACTTCTCAGTTCCAGCAGTCTTGAGAGCCCGGAAGGGCACTGGCTGTGGAAATCCCAGCGCCAGCAGCAGCCATTGCTTCTGAATGCTCCGGGTCTTCCGGCAAATTGCTGTGCTAATGCGGTTACTTTAGGTGGACACAGGGTGCCTGCTGCTGCTTTCCAAGGAGCACAGAGTGACTGACTGACGTAGCCTGTTGACGGAAGGTGCTGCTGGGTCACACAGCCACGCTGCCCTTTCTGTGTTCACGGCTCAACACAACATTAGGGGAATATTCCTAGTCCTGGGTAGTTTCAGGAACAGAGTGTGTATTTCAAATGTTTTTACAAATAAAAATGCTACTACACAATTATCAGTCGTAACCTCTGAGTGTAGAAGATGAAACAGTCTCTTCAATGTGACTTTACTTACAAACTGGAATCTGTAAGCTGGCTTCGAGGGCACAATTTCAGTGTTGCTATGGAATTTTCACCTTCACTATGATTTTTTGTTTTCTTTTAATAGGGAGATTTGGCAGACTCTTTTTTCATTGTAGAATCTGGAGAAGTGAAAATTACTATGAAAAGAAAGGTAAACATTTATCGGTCCTAAAATTCCTCATATTACCAAGGAAAAGGATGGATTTTTAAATGTAACTCATCTCACTCACCTTCTCAGGGTAAATCAGAAGTGGAAGAGAATGGTGCTGTGGAAATCGCTCGGTGTTTTCGGGGACAGTACTTTGGAGAGCTTGCCCTGGTCACCAACAAACCAAGAGCAGCGTCTGCACATGCCATTGGGACTGTGAAATGTTTAGGTAGGGTCACAATGCATGGTTATGTCTGCACTCCAGGCACTCAGATCATATGGGACATTTTATTGGGATCACAAGTGCTGAAGCCCTCACAAAATATGACCAAGGTTTGGACTTACTTTAATTATTGTAACAAGAACTCCCAGTTAAAAGTTTTACATTTAATTTGTCAAGAAAGTGCCATATGTTGTGTTCCCCAAAAGAGAAGGCTAAAGTGGTGTTGTTAAGTTTTTATTCAGCTCTGCTGGGAGGTTGGAATGCAGTGGAAAGTGCAGTCATACCCACTTCCCGGGCTGGGCTCAGGTCTGCAGGAGCTGTGGGGCATAACCAATTTCTGTTACCCAGCTTGTTATGGCTTTGTTCTACCTGGGGAGCATGACAGAAATGCCACTTTCAGTTGGCATCTACAGAGATTTTGTGTCTGAGAAATCACTGACTTAGGAAATGAAAAACATCATTCAGAATATAGCAACATAAATGACTTTTAAAGATCGATTCAACAATAATTATTCTCTCCACATTCCTCACAGTACAAAACCATAGGTTAGTGTCCGTGATTTTTAAGATATACAAGGTTCCTCAGGAGAGTCCTTACAAACTCTCTTTGTAAAAGGTTTTCACAAGTGCAGTGCTAGTAAACTGTTACTTTGATGAAAGAGGAGGCACGTCAGACAGATCCTCCTCAAAGGAAGTTGGGGAAATACAGGAAGTATACAAACATATAGGAGAAGCCAAGACACACCCATGTCATCACTGTCTCCCCATGGTTTACACCACTGTAATTCCTTTTGTTTGATTTGCATGAGTTTTCTGCTTTTAAAGAATTTTCCACTATAGGAATGTTATTAATACATCAAATCTTGACATTCTGTTAGGTAAATGTGTACATGGTAAATTATCTAATCACTCACTGGTTTTATGAGCTTTGGGTCCCATCTGTATGTGTATCTAGGAGTGCAGAGGTGACTCTTAGCAATGGAGTCTTCTTGAACTAGGGCATTACGTGGAGAAGGTTTAAGGCCTCCGCTAGTGGCATGTGCTTTGCACATTGACCGTCATCACCCGCTCTTCTCCCTGTTGGTTGCAGGCTTCTCTCCAAACAGCCCCCTCCACTTTCATGTTTATCTAGATTTTCCCCCTTCACCTGCAGAAAAATGTACAGCGTCTGCTTCACTTAACATGTTTCCAAGTTTTGTTCATTTTTCTGCAAATGTTTACAATCTATTTTTCTTTGTGGCTGAGTAGCGCTGCATTGTGTGTGTGCACTTTATTTTTCCATTTTTTGATGGATACTTAGGCTGAGTCCATAGCTTGGCTGTTGGGAATAGTGCTGCAGTATACACAGGCAGGTGATTATCTCTCTTAGGCGCTGCCTTTGAATCTCCCAGACATTGCTTGGGAGGGTAGAGGCTGGATAAAATGGTAGGTCTAGTCTCTAATGGGGAACACATGTACTGATTTCCTAGCAGCTACACTAATCTATAGTCCCACCAACGGTGGACAAGGCTTCCATTCTTCAAGAGGCCTTGCTGACTTTTGCTGTTTCTTGGTGATTGCTGCTGTGACTGGGGTGAGATGGAAGTCTCAATGTAGTAGTGACCTGAGTTTATCAGATGGCTATTTTTTATGTATTTATTGGCTACTTGTTTTGAGATTTACATCATTTGCTTATTTAATGACTCAATACATACAATTTTTTTACTATTGTGCCTACTATACCACGTAAGAATGTCCCATAAAGCCTTATAAACTCTACCTTTTTATATACCTATGCAAATCTGAGAGATAGAATTCGGTATGTTAGGCAGTATATTATAAACTCAAGTTCTAAAATTCATGAGAGTCAGATGTGGTGTCTACTGTGTGTAATGCCAGCACCTGAAGTGGGAGGATCATAAATTCAAGGCCAGTTTGATCAAGGTCAGTGTGAACTATTTACACAGGCTGTCTCAAAACCAAAATCACAAAAGAAAATGCTTGAGGCAGACAAGCACAGTGATGCGTATATTGATGCAGAAAAAAGCATTGTGTTAGTCACGACTTTGAATTGTGTAGACAGTGGTATAAATGTGTAAAAATCTTCTCAGCATGATATCGTACACTGTGAAAACAGGGGAAGAAACACTCCTTACCACTTTGGGGTAATCGCATTTATTTTTGAAAGCTCCGAGGCTGTGCCAGGTTAGATGCTCATTTCCTCAGCATGGATCAGGCACCTCCCACCAGCTTCATCACAGGTCCATCATCTGTCAGAGCATCCCAGACGATCAGCAGAGAAGCTCCCATTGCCTTTTTGAAGTGGAACATTTTTACCTTTTTTTTCCTCATATTTTTATAATATCTACCTAAAATTCTCTTGCATTGGTAATTTATGAAAACAGCACTATCATAGTAGAAAGAAATGGCGTAGGAATGTCTGAATTTTTCATTTGTGTTTTCCTTTTCTCTTAGCCATGGATGTGCAAGCATTTGAAAGGCTTTTGGGACCTTGCATGGAGATTATGAAAAGGAACATCGCCACCTATGAAGAACAGTTAGTTGCACTGTTTGGAACAAACATGGATATTGTCGAGCCCACTGCATGAAGCAAAAGAATGGAGCAGAAAGGAGCGTTAAGCGAAACGGTTCTGCAGTAGTGGTTAGTCCACTGAGAATGTGTTTGTGTAGATGCCAAGCACTGTCTGTGACTTCAGGGTGTCCTTTTTTAAACAAAAAAACATTTACAATGTGTCAGTAAACAGTAGTGATTTAATAGTCAATAGGCTTTAACATCACTTTCTAATGGGTAGTTCATTTAAAAAATCAACATTCATAAAAATGACTTTCTATTCCATAAAATTATTTGACTGAGAGTTTTATTCAAGTATATTGAAAGCATACATGTTTAAGAAGACAATTAAAAGATGTACTCATAGGCCAATCTATGTTTGGTTTATTCAAATATCAAATTAGTGACTATCCCATTTAAGAGAGAGGTTGGTAGTGACTCATGCGATCTAGCATGGCATCACAATCTTTTTATAATTCACCATACAGTAAAATGTCAGTCATTTCATTTTCTAGTTTTTCTGGCTTGATAAGTTGTGTGTTAGCCTTGGCCTATTGGTGAAATGGCATGAAACATCATATGCAATTTTAAAATTTTTTATATTTTTGCAATAAAGTACATTTTGACTTCTTTGACAAATGTCAGTGGGTAGCCTACATAATTGAGTGGCTTTTGAGACTTGGCAACTTAGTCATTATGATAATTGGGCAAAGAGTCTTTTAAGATGAAAGATCATAAATGAGTTTTTCTTTCTTTTTTCCTCCTCAAGACAAGGTTTCTCCATGCAGCCCTGGCTGTCCTGGAACTCACCTTGTAGACTAGGCTGTCTCTGCCTCTTGAGTGACGGGGATTAAAGGCATGTGCCCCCACCACCAAGCCCATAATTACATTTCACATCATCACATACATAGTTTGACTGCTTCCTTTTATTTTGCAACCCTTGTATTCTTTATAAATTGCATTTTGACATCTAATGTGACAAAGATGTCTTAAAAGCTGTTTAAACTTAATCTGACTTTTTTTTTTGTCCGCTAAAAGTTCTGAATCTTCTATTTAGAAAAAGGAAAACTTTCCTAGGAGAAATCGTTTGGGATTCCTACCCACATGCCCACAGGGTACCGCTTTGGTCACCATGGTGCGGATACTGCAGCCCTGTACACGCCTGTGCCCATGGTTTCTTTCCTTTCTCCTTCCCTTCCCTTCCTCTCCTTTACTTTTGTGTCTTCATGTCATCATCACCAACACAAGCTCATCGATCAGCAGCCAGTCAACCCTCAGAAACACTACTACAGTGGTGGAAATGAGTCTGTACGTAAGCAAAGCCATACATAATGATTAATGGAATTTCTGTCTATACTAATGATAATTAGGCTTTGTCCTTACTTTTAAAGTCAATTCAGAGCTAAAAGTACACAAAGTACAAAATTTTATTAGGTCTTTTTTAATCACTTGCTTATTTTTATGCCAGGTATAATGAATTGTTATATACAACCAAAGTAATATACTTTTACATGACTTTCAGAGCCCCATGACCAAATGTAGGGACACTAATTCTCACCAGTTATTCACCTTTAAATGGAAAATTTCATTTTGGGAAACATGTTCTAAGAAACAGTGGTGTCTCTATATGTGAATGGTTGTTGTGACCTCATAAGGGGATGTTTATAGTCCTGCTTGCACACGAAAACATGGCTGGGGTGCTAATTGGATAATGTATAGGCAAGTTAAAGTATTTAAACTATAGCTTTAGTTGTGTCTTAAAATACTATTTTTGAAAACTCTGTACGAGAAAGAGCTCTCTCTACATGAAACAAGGAAAAATTCCAAAAACAGAAAAAGAAAAAAGCCTCCCAAGTCCCTGGTTCCTCATTCTGTGTCCTTGGTTCACTTTTCCAAGTTCTCTTGCTGCATTGAGGAAGCTGATTGCTAAGGGTCATGGAACAGCAAATGCCTGCTGAATAAAGAACTCCACCCAAGGCTAAAAACGCCAGTTATTTTCAGTATTGTTGGTTATATTTAAAATTGCTTATAATAAAGCACACTTTTATAATAAATATTTTAAGCATTGTTTCTTTATTATGGATTGTCTAGTGTAACAAAAATCATGAGATATGGTCCATGGAAGTTAAAAGCCCATAGTATATGAAAGTATGGTTTTGCATGAATGTAGGTCTCTGTAAGATTTTTAACTACTGGTTAAATTTTTAACTATTGTGGTATGTTGCACATTATTTTGGCTATTTAGAATAACCAAATAAATGACTAACAGGAATATATGTGTAAAACTTTCTAATTAAAACAGCTCAAGTTTGACTTGTGAATGTCATTATTCAATCACTAACGAGAAATCTTAGTATTTGGGAATTCTTTGATGAAATTTCCATTCAAAGACCACACCTCTTAAGTCACCTGTGGCTAGGATACAGAAGTCTGTCCTGGAAAACAAGACTCTTCACTTAGTTTTAAATAAGGTTAGAACAGTATTGTGTTTTTTGCTTCTCAGTATGAATTAGGGCTTAGCACCTATAATACATACTACCTGCAGTAGAAGTTGGATAAATATATATGGGTTATTTTACATGGCTTAACGTAGTAATTTACCTGATCCAGAGTAATTTCACAGGCAGCAAAACTGGCTAAACAATGAAAAATATAGTTGTATTCACAAATATTAAAAAAAATATATTACCAGGCAGTGGTGGTGCGTGCCTTTAATCCCAGCGCTTGGAAGGCAGAGGCAGGCAGATCTCTGAATTCAAGGATAGCCTGGTCTATAGAGTAAGTTCCAGGACAGCCAGAGCTGCACAGAGAAACTCTGTAGTGGGTGGGGCTAAAATAAACAAATCTTATCATTTTAACTCAGGAGTTGAGAAAATGTAAACAAATGTACTACTTATTTTTGGAAGAACACAAGATTATCTCTGTCCAGTTTCCATATACCAAGGAGAATTCATCTTTACTAAGATGTCTCATGAAGAACCGAGATTTCTTCCTTTCTTGTCAAACTCTTGCCTGTAACTCAGTATCAGGTAAAAACCGAGTCTAATATCACATGGAGTAAATTCTGAGAGTAAAATCTTTTAATAACAAATGTGGTCTTTATCTTTTGCACATCATTAAGTTAGCAAACCTAAAAATCCCTAGAAGTCTTTACTAGGCGTCTGTCATCTGGGTATGGTGAGGTAGGATTTATCACTGATATTAAAATGAAGTGTCCGACTGGAGAGACAGTGAAGAGGTTAAAAGCACTGACTGCTCTTCCAGAGGTCCTGAGTTCAATTCCCAGCACCCACATGGTGGCTCTCAACCACCTGTGAAGAGATTTGGAGCCCTCTTCTGGTCTTCATGTATACATATCAGTGAATCTTTAAAAAACAAAATGAAGTGCCACCTACTTGAGCATGTGGTTTCCTCAGATTTTGATTTAACATAGCCTGAATCTTGCCATTTTCCTAAACATAACCATGACACTACAAAGTGGTAGATAGGTACATATGGCATGTACACACAGGTGTACATGTATTTACACACATTTTGTTAGCACCACTTATAATTGTTTCATAGTAGCATGTTAGTTCACTTTTTACTCTTAACTAAAAACAAGGGGAATGACCTCTGCCCCCTGTGTACCAGGAAAAGTTAAACAAGTTAACAGGATGAGCCTTGGTCATGCCCTCCATTAGTCCATCAGCCTTGCTTTAGTAGAGGAGCTGGGAGTGCAGCCAGTAGAAGAACCCATGGTGAATGGGACACAGGTGCCTCTCTAGAGCCCAGTCTTCCCTATGAGCCTCCCAAGTGTAGTTTGTGGGTTCATCCATTGACTTACGAAGGAGTAGAGGGGCTGGAGAGATGGCTCAGAGGTTAAGAGCACCAGATGCTCTTCCAAAGGTCCTGAGTTCAATTCCCAGCCACCATCTATAATGAGCTCTGGTGCCCTCTTCTGGTGTGCAGGCAGACATGCCTATATAATAAATAAAATGTTTAAAAAAATAAAGGACTAGAGGGAAAATATTTGAAAGTGCTCTATTAAATGGGGTAGGGATGAAAGTGTGGTGGGCTTAATGTGTGCTGGTGAGATGGCCTGAATTTAAACCCTAGGACCACAGCCATTAGCCAGGCGCAAGAGTACGTACGTGCACACACACACACACACACACACACACACGCACGCGCGCGCGCACACACACACACACACACACACACACACACACACGGAACACACTCTGGACACTTGAGAGCATTTGCATGTCCAGCTGGTAAGTTCTCGATCCTGCCTTGGCTGCAGCTATCCTCATACAACCTTCGGGTTATCTGTTTCTTAATTTTGGCTTCTACAGACTTGGTCCTGCTATGAAGTCTCAGGTGGCCTTGAACTTAAGATCCTCCTGCCTCAGCCTTGTGAGTGGCTGGGTTATGGGCTTTCTCTACCCTGCCTGGCCTTCCTTTTCTTTGTGAAGTGTTAGGGACCTAACCCAGGCAAACACTCTGCCACTTAGCTTCATTCCGAGCCTACAACATTTTACATTTAATGTGAAAAGGCTTTAAAAGAACATTTGAGAAATTCAGTCAAATATTGAAGTTACTTCTAACTGTTCATCTCCCTTTTCTGTGCTAGCTGGATCCCAGCTTATGTCTTACTGGTCCACAGAGAATCAACTACACAGCTAAATGCAGGGGAACGTACCTGCCTCCTTTAGGCCGCCTTCAGTACAAGCGTACCTTCCTCTACATGACTATATTCTTGAAATGTGAACAGATAACTGTTGTCCTCCTCACCCCAGTCAGTCTCCCGTGCTGTTCTATGCTCGCCAGACTGTTCTTTGCATGTTGGCGCTCATGCCATCTTCCCACCTCACCCTCTCCAGCAGGTGGGACTATAGGCAAGCACTCTTCTCCATTACAATTTTAGGGGTGTCACATCTTAATTATTTTCAGATAGGTGGCCATTATAAGAATATTCTTCTCTCTATTCTTTAAAGTGCCAATAGAATATTTCCAACACTTCAAAACTATAGTGCATTATGATAATCTATATAACTTGGTGGTGAGGTGTGATAATGAGATACATATTCTGTTTGCATGATTAATATGGTGAAGGACACAAAAACAATATTTAACACAGTTGGAAGCTGAGTATCTTATCTGAAATGCTTGGAACTAGAACAATTGTTATATTAGTAGTATAGTATAATACATATTGTTAACAACTTATTTAAGGTTTCTGATCTTTTTTGGAATTTGGAGTATTTACATACTTTAACCTCTGAGCATTGCTAATTTGAAAATGTGAGATCCAGAAAGTGTTGGAAGCTGAAAAACGTTTGCGAGATGACATGATGCTCAAAGTTTCAGACCCTGCAGCACTTAGGATTTTTTGGTTTTTGAGGAAGTAGCCCTTAAAGCAAACAGGACATGATGGCTTAGGAAACCCTTAACTTGTTATCAGATGCCTATATCATTCTTTATTGGCCAGACAAAAAGATCGTTACAGAGATGGAGAGTGGCTGAAGAGTGGGTGTGGGAGGGTGCATTGTTACTAAAAGTGTTAGTTTGTTTACATAGTATTATAAAGCTGTGCACATATATAAACAGCAGTTTACATAAACTATTCCTATGTTAAATGTTCCTTCTGTAAGACCTATATGTAAAATAGGTCAGAAAACAAGAATTACCCATTCTAGAACATTTTCAGTGAATGATGTAGGAGTTGGTATTTCAGCTTGCGTTTATAAACCTGATGTGAGATGAAACAGACTTATTTGACTACTCTCATTTCATTTATACCAAATTGAGCAAGTCTGCAAGACGTTTTGGGAGCAAACGACATTTTCTGAGGGTCCTCAGCTTTCTCAGCCCAGTGGTTCTCAACCTTCCCAGTGCAGAAACCCTGTAATACAGTTCTTTGTGTCGTGATGACCCCAATGACATTTTGTTTTTGTTTTTGTTTTTTGAAACAGGGTTTCTCAGTAGCTATGGGCCAGTCCTAGAACTCACAGAGACCTGCCTGCCTCTGCCTCCTGGGTTTAAAGGTATGGGCCACTACCACCTGGCTTTGTTGCAACTTCTAACTGTGATTTTTCTACAGTTATGAATCATAATGTGAATGTTAGATATGCAAGATGTCTAACATATGACTTCCCAAGGGATCACGACTAATAGGTTGAGAACCACTGCTTTAGACTCTTCTCTTAAAGTTCAAATGAAAGTGAATACTACAACTGTTATAGGCTCCCTGTAATCAGATTTCTTACGGCCATTGCAAGCTTAGCATCTCAATTTGAACTCAACCTTTCGACTACTCTCAGAACCTACATCTCTCCCATTTCCCCTGATTCAATTGGAGACACGAATAATCTCAGTTACATAAGCAAGAAACCATTCTTTCTTGCTTCACCTTGTCGTTTCTTCCTGACGGGTACAGAGAAAACACCACACATTGGCTGTCTAAGGTCTTGCTTTATGGTCATCTGAACAGAATCTAAACTTCCAGTTGCGTCATCAAAGATATGAGGCACATGATTCGGTTCCAAGATTATTCCCATTGCCGTCTAGTGCTCTCACTGCATGTGTTGTAGGAGTACTTCCAACCAACTATAAGATAATATGGGGAGGTATTTGCCTCCTTAAATATTCTACTAAAAAGCTGTCGGAGACTTTGGGGACAGTATTGTGAACTATATGGTTTGGTCTCTTTATCAGCTGTATAATTTGTTGAACTGTTTGATAATAAGGATAGTGGTATCATGAATATTCAAGTAGATGCCATGGGCTTTTGTTTGGCAAAGTAGTAGTTATTCAAAATTTGGTGGGATCCAGAGAAATTACTTAGGAATTTCATCTCTAAATGAAGTGTTATAATTTATAAACTATTTTAAACCATCTTTAACTCACTAAAACTTGTTTATAGCAAATATTCGAGCTATTTTGATTTGAGATCCCCCTACTTTTAGCATAGATTTTATGCATGTGCACAGTATTCATATAAACCAAGAGGAGTATTAAAATGATTTTGTTTGTTTTTCCAGACAGGGTTTCTCTGTATTACTTTGGAGGCTATCCTGGAACTCCCTCTGTAGACCAGGCTGGCCTCGAACTCATAGAGATCCCCCTGCCTCTGCCTCCCTAATGCTGGGATTAAAGGCATGCACCACCAAGGCCTGGCTTGTTAATCTTATCATGTAAACATCTGAAGATAACTCTGTATCTGTTTTAGACAAAGAGTCTAATTTACATATGGCCTTACTAAGATTTTCTTGGTCTTCCCTCAGGCTCTTGATTGGCTGCTTTTTTGGTTAACCAAGAATTAATGTTGTTCATGTTAAATATACATAAGGTGCCAAGGTTCCCAGTTAGTTCCCCAAGGAAGTCAAAAGACTGGGTTAAGTTTCTGCTAAAGGTGAGGTGATGCCAATAACTGTATTTATTTATCTGTGATTAGACTATCTGAATCTACCTTATAAATACTTGGACGTAAGACAAAGCATGACAAATGTTTTAAGTCATTGCATTGTCAGAGTACAGGGGGTCAATAAACAGTATGAAATATATGAATGAGTGGCAAAGATCTATGAAGTCACAAGGGATATAAGATTAATGTACAATATCTTTATCAGAAGTCAAATTTATCCTTTCCACCTTGGTAACTTTAAGCTTAAAAAAAATCATCACTGCCTGGCGGTGGTGGCGCACGCCTTTAATCCCAGCACATGGGAGGCAGAGGCAGGCAGATCTCTGTGAGTTCGAGGCCAGCCTGGTCTACACAGAGAGTCCTAGGACAGTGTCCAAAACAATACAGAGAAACCCTGTCTCGAAAAAACCAAAAAATAAAAAAATCATCACTAAGGCTTTCAGCAAAAGCTTCCAAATGTTTCTCTGCTTGTCTTCTCCCCTGTCTTTTAGTAACATTCAGAGGAAGTCAGGGTTAAGCTTACATTCTCAAGAGGGACAAATAACTGTCTCACAGCTTGTGTTGATTTCATTTTTGGAAACTACAACTTTTTCATTTCAAGTACATGTAAATCTTACAGATATTAATTTTAAATGGTTAAATATACCCCAAGGAAAGAAATTATTGTTTGGGTTAAGAAACTAAATGTTAAGAGTTTCTACTTTTAAATTATGGATATTGGTCACTTTCCATTAAGAGCAGAAGACACAAGCACAAAACGGCTGAAATACACTCACGCTTTTTGGACTCACTCTACAGTATCTGGAGGACGTACATTAAAACCTTTAACTCTTTTACTTAGGGGAAAATCAGGCATTTGGGGGGTTTCCTCTGGACTATTTTGAGGAAAATAATGCTTAATTACTATATATGAACACAAAATGTAAACCACTGCTTACTTGGAAGGGTTTCAATTTCAAGAGTATGAACGTAGAACTCAAAGTTGAATTTGAAACCTTGTTTCAATCATATACCGGCAGTCTTTACTGATTCTGTCCTTCATTGAAACCTTGTTTCAATCATATACCGGCATTCTTTACTGATTCCGTCCTTTAGCTTTCGGGTACATTTGAAAACTGAAGGAATGGGACAGCTTTCCTAAGTTGAAGGAATGATTTCGGGCTCTACCCCAAACCGACTTCCGCAGAATTAATTCCTTCCAGTTTTCCTGTCTCTCGATTTTCGGCACATCTCTAATAATCGGAAGAAAGAAATAAAACCTAATTCATGGCTTACATGACTAACCCCTTCAGGTTCAAAGGCACGAAGCTCATTAACCCTGCGGTAACGCTCGCGACGAGCCTGGTAACGACGCCGATGACACACGAGCTTCCTCTAAAGGGAGGGCGCCCTGGGACAGTCGGGACGACCCCTGGCGGAAGCAGAGTGGGAAGAGTTCTGTCTCCGAACCCTTGGAGCGGGAGACACAGTCACAATACCCACCGGGGAACTGGGGGACCGGCCCCACCATAGTCCGCGCCTCCGAAGCACGCTCCAAACGCGCCACCGCGACCGCGAGCGGCCCGCTCGTGCCCCAGCCCCACGGGGCCCGCCGCGGCCACGCGCGACACAACGCCGCGGGCGCGAGGAGGCGAGGGCGGCGGGGCGGTTCCGAACCGCGGTTCCCGGTGAGCCCGGCCTGCTTCCGCCGGCGCGGCCACCTCCTTCCCCTCGCGCGCAAACAATGCCTTGGCCATCTGCCAAACTCGGGGCCGACAGCGGCGGCCTGGACCGGCGCTGCCGCGGACGCAGCCAGCTCGCAGCAACGCGGGCCCGCGGGAAGAGGCGCCGTCCAGGCTCCAAAACCCTCCTTCCCTCGCTCCTTCCCTCCGCCCCCTCCTTTTGTCCGGACACCAAAACAAACGAGCTGATACACGTGTCCCTATGACTCTTGTTTACTATCAAGACTGCGCTGTGCGTGCGCCTCTGGGATTTGTAGTTCCGCCCGCTCCTCTCGCCGGCAACTTCCCGGGCTGAGGAGCACGGCTGAGACTACCAACCCACAATCCTCTTGGAGAACAAAGTTTGGCTCGGGTCCCCAGCGTCTCGGCGGTAATCCAATCCGGAGCGCTTTCTGCTATGATTGACAAGCCGCCTCCTCCAGTAAACACAACACAAAAGTCAATACATACCCGCCCATCGAGACGAGACCTCGGCATTGCCCAATGGGAGAGCGGAACCTTAGAATGGCAGCTCTTCTGACCAGTTAAAGACGGAGAAGGTGACCGAAGGCTCAGCCCCCCCGGGGGCTCGGAGGGGAGGGGGAAGACGGAGCTTGAAAGACTTGGTAATGGCGACGGGTTTGGTAAGTAGGAAAGTTTCGGCTGAGGAGCGAGCGCGACGGTGGGAGTCGCGGCGCGCGCCGGGGAGGCGGGCGGCCGTCCGGGGCCGCGCGGGCAAGCCGCCGGTGAGGCTGTCGCCTCGGGCGGCCCGCGTCGTGGCGGTGTGTGGTGGTCGCCGCGCCCCGGAGGGTGGGGGCGGGTAAGGGAGGGGCTGGGCGGCGGGGCCGGGGCCGGGCTCCCCGCGCGAGCTCGCGCCCCGGCCTCCCGCGGGCCCCCGCGGCCGGGCGGCCGGGGCTGGGGGCGGGGGGCCGGCGGGGAGGGGCCCGGCGTCGCGGAGGGCTCCGGGAAGCTCGGGTCGCCACTCCCAGCCGCGGGCCGAGGGGCGGACGCGGGCGGCGAGCCCGGGCGGGCGGGCCGGGCGGGGGTGCTCGCCGCGCCGTCGGGCCGGGGCTCATTGTTACGCAGTTCGAATGAATGGGCCGCGCGGCGCGTGCGCGGCGGGGCGGCGGCGAGGGGGGGGAAACGAGGCTGGCGTCCCGGCCGCCCGCGGTCACATGACGGGGGGGAGGGGAGCGGAGCGAGCGGGGAACGGCGACCGCGGCGGGGGTGGGCCCGCGGGCGAGGCCAAGGCCCCGCCCTCCGCAGGCCGAGTTCTACCCCGGAGAGGAGTCGGGGCGCCGCCGCGGGGCTCGCCGCCGGGCCGGGAGTGGGGCGGTTGAGAGCGGGTGTTTGTAGCCAGTGTGAATGCCGTCGTGTGCCCGCTGCGGCCGCGATCTCGAGTGTGACTCTGTGCCTTCTCCCCGGCGTTCGACCTCCCCCTTCCGTCCGCACCTCTTGTCTTGTGAACTGAGTGTTGGGAAAAGTTTCGAGCTGCACGTTCGGAAGAAACTTCGTCAAGTGTGTTCCTTACCTTAGGGTTTTGAAACATTAGCTCGACTAGCAAACCAGAATCTTTTTAATAAAAATTCAGTTTTATAGCTTCCAGCTTAGTTTTGCAAACCTAGGTGCCTTTTCTCCCGGGGAAGGCCCTTTGTTCATTCCCCGACTGTGAAAAGGATGCTTCTCAGTGTTTTTGTTTTTTGTCATACATCTCTCTGTTGTGTTCCTTCCCTGAACACTATACCACCACGTTGTCTCGACTTAGTTTTACCTTCAGACTCTCTCCCTGTGTCCAGTGAAGCAGGCTTGTGGTGGAAACTTAGATACTGACCCTGAAGGTTCTTTGGTATTCGTATCAGTTGGAAATAAAGACATCAGTACTCTTTTACTGACACAAGTTATCTTAAGAAGTTACTCCCTAACAGTACTAACAAGGGCAGATATTTTTCTTGTTCTAAATTTCACAGTATGTACTGAGAAGGGGGGAAAAATCACAGAAATGAAGTTAAACTGACAAATACTTGTATATAACACAATCAAGAAAATTCATAATTTGATCATGTAGTTTCATAATGTAATCTGCATTTGAGTTGTACTTCCAATCATAATTTCTATTACATTTCCAGAGAGTTAGAAAAGTTTATTTTCATCCATTTCTGTTCTTAATCTCAAGCACTTGGGAGGTACAGCAGAAGAATGGGCCAAGACCTTGGCTACATAGTGAGTTCCAGGCCAGCCTGGACTACATAAGACCATATCTTACAAACAAACAAAAATAGGGAAGAGGAGACACCCAAAATTTCCCTCTAATATGGTTAATTCGATGTTCTGTTTTGTTTTAGACAATGGCATCATCTTAATTGAATAAACTTAAACCTGTCCTGGAGACGCCGAAGCCTTTCTAGCCTAGGCTGGCCCTGAATTCTTGGCAGTCCTCCGAGAAATTTTAAAGCCATTGATGCTCCTATAGAAGCCTCCCCCCCCCCCATTTTTGGCAGGGTTTCACACTGTAGCCCAAGGTAGCCTACTGTAACTCACTGTACAGACCAGGCCGGAATGGCATTCAGAGTGAACTTCTGCCTCTGCCTCCTGAATACAGAGGTGTGCCACCATGTCTGGACAAAAAAAAAAGATGTTGTCACAGGTTGTTGTAGAAATATGGAAATGTGTAAGAGTATAGGTTTCTTTCATAAAAATTTTAGATTTCAACCGTACCTGGCCAAAAAGAGTAGTTGTAATAATATGAAAATGTTTAGGATTATAGTCAAGTGTAGGAAAATAGTTTCTCTTGTGTAAATTTTAGATGATTTTAAGTTTCTCATAAAAGGACTTTAAAGATTTTTTAATTTTGTGTGTGTGTGTGTGTGTGTGTGTGTGTGTGTGTATTGTCTGCATGTGTGTCTGCATCGTGTCCACACAGTACCTAAGCCTGTCAGAAGGGGTAGTCGGAGTTACTGATAGTAGGGACTGGGAATTGAACCCAGGGAGGGCCTTTGAAAGAGCATCAGTGCTTTTAACTACTTCAGCCTCCAGAATGATTTGCCGTAAATATTATTTGAATTGACAGTTCTGATCATGGAAAGTTTTATGTGATCTGTATTAGTATTTCCTGTTGATTGAGCATGAAAGTAATTAATTGCTGTGATTTACAATATTGAGTAAAGGAAGGATGTGAGATATTTTTATACCTATAACAGTTTTGAGGAGTGGATAGGTTTTAGTTCTGCTGACAAAAAGGGAAGTAGGCATCAGTGGTTAAACTGTTGAGGAGCACAAAGGTGCTAAGTGGTAAGCTTTACCAAAACAAACCCACCATGTGGCTTCTTGTTTTCATTTTTTAGCTCCATGGCAGAAACATAGGTCAAAGAAGTGACTTTGAGAATATGTGATGGTATTCTTAAAGGACTTCAGTAAGGCCTTCTGATTGCTTTTGATATAGGAAGTAGAATTTAGTATTTGCTAGTTTTAGTCTTTTGTAGCTTGTAATTATATAATTCATTTTAAATACTTCAGTTCCTCTTGTCAGGCTTATATTAATTGTACATTGACTTCTCTTCACCTCTTTCAAAACAATTTGAACAAATAGTCTGGATGGTTTTGTCCTTGAGGATTGAGGCAGAGGGTCTTTCACAAAATTGGTAAGGCTCACTGAACAAAAAGGTAGGAATCCAGAAACAAATTCTTGAAAGCCAGGGTCTAACATATTTTGAGCTAAATGCTTATTTATTTTTGTCTCTTTATTTCTTTAGAAGGAAAATGGAACCATTCAGTGGTCAGAGTCCTGCCTTCCTCGAGCATTATGTTCACAGAGCTGTTTTCATGCTGACTGAAATGAGAGGAAGTGTGTGGCCCTCCTCTGGAGGAGGAGAGGAGGGGGGCGAGCACTTTAAAAACCCAGTGTCTTTGTTGTCTCTGCCCTCCCCTTCCTAGACTTTGCAGATATTTGTTACAAAGCATTAAAATTTGAATGTTTGAACATGGCATTTAGAGTGCAATTAGAGAATTGAAGTTTTGAAAATAGTTGATTTAATGAAGAGTTGGCATGTGCCTATGTAACTTAAATACAAGGCATGTTCTAGTAGCAGAGCGGTGTATACAGTGTGTGAGCACTGGGGTCAGCTCCACCAGGAGGTGTGTTAGAACTGAGCTCGTCTGTCAGAATCCCACCTGGCTGGTGTGTGTGTGTGTGCGTGCGGATATTTTTGACGATAGACTGAAATGGGGTTCCTTTCCATTTTCAGAGCTTTTGCTTTACCCAGCACTGGATTGTAAGAAGACTCAGACCAACAATTTGTATATGCTTTTGTATATGTGTGTTTTCATGTACTTTATTCTTACAGGAGCCCTGTGAACTAAGGTACTGTGAGTTTGAAGGATATAGTTCCAGGTTATGTAACCAGAAGAGTAAAATGTGGGCCTTTTGTCTTGAAGTTTAGACATTCTTTTTCTGTATTGGAAATAAAAACCCTAAAAAAATCAAAGCTTCATAGGAAAACAAAACCTTTTTTTTAACTTTTACCTTGGCAAAACCTCAACCAAAAACCCCAGACCCCATCATAATCAGTGGGAAGTCCAAATGTCCAGAAGAGTAAATATTTCCTTGGTCTGTCAGCTGTAGGTAGTTGTGCTTCGACATTAAAATTAGTGTTTACCCTGCAAGTGTGTTGATGAGATGGAGATGGAATTCTAAGTGCTAGACATTCTGTGGTGAAGCTGAATGGTAGACACTGCTGAAGGGGGAGGCGGCTCGGCTGGGAAGAATGGCAAAACCAAAGCTCTCTGCAGAGGGAGAGAAACAACAGCCGCATGGGCTCCTTAGGACGGTGAGAATCTGGTGAAGCGGCGTTGTCTTCAGTGGGGCTGACAGTTAATCAGGCCCAGTCTAGAAAGGGCTGTGGACGTCCAGGAGTTGACGATATGAAGAGTGGATTATGTTCTTTAAGCTGTCCAATAGATCACTATAGGATGAATTGAAATGCTGGTGTTAGCGGTTGGAGACACCTTGCAAAGAATGACTGAGTTCCTGTGTGTCTTCGGAATTACTAAGTAAGGAATATGCATTGTTGCTACTTACCACCTTCTACAAGATTTTCCAAAGGAATCTGGAAACAGTTGGCATATTCAGAAATTGAAAATGTGAGTGCTCTTTAAAAAAAAAAATACCCTGCATATGATACAGACCCTGCCTGTTCAGATAGTGTTTTAATATGGTTTAAACAGATTGAACAACCTGTTTGTAGTTACACTACAGACCTCAACTCCACAAACCATCAATGGTTCCCTGTTGTCTGATAATTGCTAATGGCAACACCAACCATTCCATACTGAAGATGTTTTAGGTTAGGGATTCAAGACATTTGTCATTATCACTGAGTTTTTTACAAACTATGAAGTATGTACTTTTAGTTATTCTGGTTTACAAACAAGGCAAGATATTAAAATAGATTGTTCAGAGCATGTAGCCTGTTGGCAAACTTGCTTTATACTTAATTTAATTTCAGAGTCCTTACCCTCGTCTCTTTCTTTCATTTTCTTACACTAGGATTAAGACGACTCTCAACAAGTGGTGTTGGTGCACACCTTGGGAGACAGGCAGGCAGATAGATCCCTGTGAGTTTGAGTTCCAGGACAGCCAGAGCTGTTACACAGAGGAAACCTGTCTCAGAAAAAGACCCGCTGTACTGCACCTTACAGTTCAGTATCCGTGGCCACATACTGCTCAAGGCTGCCATGCTTCCTGGTGATACTAGCTTCTCTATTTTCTTTTTTCCCCGATCTCATCCATAGCACTTTACCAGATAAGACTGTTAGCTGATGTGGGTTTCTCCCTATTAACAGTGAAGCCTCATTCTACACCGTGAAAGCTATTTACTTGTCTTAGGCAACTAAAGCCACATCCCTTGACATTCAGGTTAACTGTTGGTTGTTGCAGCTAATTGATGCCTTGTATATGGCACTTGATGAAAAAGGAATGTAGTGTCCTTGTGCTGAGGACCCAGCCCTTCTCTGGCATGACAGACAGGTGACCAGCCATTGTGATACTTTGTGCCAACTTTTATTAAACATTACCCCGCCGCCGGGCGGTGGTGGCGCACGCCTTTAATCCCAGCACTCGCGAGGCAGAGGCAGGGGGATCTCTGTGAGTTCGAGGCCGGGCTGGACCAATAGCCTCCAAAACAATACAGAGAAACCCTGTCTCGAAAAAAAAAAAAACCAAAAAAACAAAAAAAAAAAACATTACCCCAACTTGCCAACAATCATTTTTAGCCTCAGAGTTCTTAACTCACCACACTTGAGTTTTTGCAAACAAAAAGTAGTAAACAGGGCTGATACAGATCATTTCCTCATTTATTTCTAGGCATACATGTGATTCCTTGTTCTGCAGAGTTGAGTGTGAATCACTGATTGAGCTAAATTTGCTCAGTGTTTCAAGGGCTGGGTAGAGGCACAGAAAGCATGAGCTGACACTTGAGAAGGCCCATTTCATCTGGACTTGAGGGGGAAATAAAGGCAAAACCTCTCCCCCAAAGTAACGTATCACTTGATTTAAAAGTCAAGATATTTTTAAAATATATAGGTTGGTTGATTGTAGCAGTTTTTATAATCCAGTGTCTCTTAACAGCCAGAAACTTCAGAGACAACGTAATAACATGGAGTATCCAGGCTCTATGTATTTTTTATCTTTATGTGTGTTTTTTATTGGAATACTATTTTAAAATAGATATTTATGATTGTCAGTACCTTCTCTTTTCTCTGCCAAACCTATGTATATTTTTAAACATATTGTAATCTGTTTAGAGGATCGTTGGGGTTTTTGTTTGTCTGAATCTGTCCAAGCATCTGTAAGCTTTTTTTATCTGAGTAAAATTTAGAACATGGTAGGTTGGCAACTGACTCCTCCCCCTCAATTGCCTGAGAGCCTGGACTCAGGGTGGAGGTGCATTTACAGTAGTTGTGGGAGCCAGAAGAGGGCACCAGATTTCATTGTAGATGGTTGTGAGCAACCATGTGGTTGCTGGGAATTGAACTGAGGACTATCTTTAAGAGCATCCCAGTCCAGGAAATTTGTTGGGTCCATGCTGCCACCTAGTACAGCCCACTGCTCACAAAAAACGTTTCAAGTGCTCAGTAGCCACGCCTCTTAAGACTCGCACAGCCTTTGCCACTAGCATCAGCCAGAGAGCAGCTGTGCCTCTGCCCCCCCCACCGGCAAACAGCCCATCCAAGAAGCAGCTACCAAGAAGCCACACTTGGTTCCATTCTCGTGTGCCTAGAGGGTTTTTCTTTTTTTTTAAGCTTTGTCATATCTTGTATGGAAATTCCATGCCCCACACTGGGCGCCATTTGTAAACAAAGTTTTCCTGTCCTGGCAGCCATTTCCCAAAAAGCATTCAGAGCCTTAATATTAATTATAAACGCTTGGTTGATAGCTCAGGCTTATTACTAACTATGACATTTAAGTTAACCCATATTTTATCTGTGTTTTGCCACATGGCATGGTAGGGTTTTTTAGTACAGCATGTCCACCTTGCTTCTCCTGTATCTCATTACTCCTGACTCTGCCCCCTCCCCTTTAGTTTGGTTGCCCCGTCTGTATCTACTTCCTGCCTCGCTACCTGCCAATCAGAGAAGAACACATTTTCATAGTGTGCAGGGTTATTCCACAGCATGTGTCAGACCTGGGTAAACTGTTGGAGACATCGCTGTTCCAAGGTCTATGGACAGCTTGTGAGATCTTCCAGAAGAAACTGCCCGAACTGGATAGTTGTATGGTCATTTGCTTTCAGTGTCTGTTGTTTAGTTTACTTAGGACATTACGAACCCCAACAGCATGCTTTCATTGCCTCACAGTCTGGGGCTTAAAACTTACTTTACATTTTAAACTTTGCTCATTCGTGGTAGGAACTTAAGGAGAGCCCTTAAGTTCAGTCACTTGGTTCATAAAGTGAAATAATCCAATTGGAATCAAAAGACATTTCTTAAATCTGAGGGTCCCCTGCCACCCCATGTCATATCTTCAGTTGGTAGGAGAGAAACTCGTAAAGCAGTGCCCAGGCAACGCTTTACATCATTGATATCTGTCGTGTGTGCGTGTGCGTGTGTGGGTGTGGGTGTGGGTGTGGGTGTGGTAGGGCGTACTCTCCATAGCACATTGATTTCTGTGTGTGTGTGTGTGTGTGTGTGTGTGTGTGTGTCAGGGCGTGCTCTCCATAACACATTGATTTCTGTGTGTGTGTGTGTGTGTGTGTGTGTGTGTGTGTGTGTGTGTGTCAGGTCGTGCTCTGCATGGCACATTGGTTTCTGTGCGTGTGTGCATGTGTGTACGGGGTATGCTCTCTATGGCACATTGGTTTCTGTGCTTGTGCGTGTGTACAGGGTGTGTGTGTGTACGGGGTGTGCTCTGAAGAGCACCCGACAACTTCTTGGATTCAGCTCTGTCCTTCCACTGTGCCTTTTAGGAATGAAACTGTCTTGAGGGAAAGAACCATAGATTGTTGAAAAATCAGAATTTGTGTATTTCTTAGCATTTTCACAAGAAGCAGCATTTGGAGTAGAGCCTGAGAAGTTGTCACTATTATGTTAGTGTGTTAGGTCCTAATGTGCCTGTCGGCGAGGCTGAGAGTGTGACGCGGATAATCACATTAGGACTTTGCTGGAAAATGCTGAGAAGTTGGGAAGTGTGACTTGGTTGTCACTATTATGTTAGTGTGTTAGGTCCTAATGTGCCTGTCGGCGAGGCTGAGAGTGTGACGCGGATAATCACATTAGGACTTTGCTGGAAAATGCTGAGTCAGTCTGCAGCCCTCGTCTTCTCAGGCTAGTTTCCAAGTCTTCTGAAGAAAACTTTACAACATTCTAAGTTTCATGAAAAGTAAAATGTAACATGGCTAGCATAATAGCCAGAAACTCTTAAATGTTCACAGAGGATATAATGTTAAGTATGTTAAAATTGTTCACTTTCAGTTTGGAGGGATAGCTCAGTGGTTAAGAGCATGGCTGCTCTCTCAGAGGACCCCGGGTTCAATTCCCAGCACTCAACATAGCAGCTCCCAACTGCAATGCATATAAATCAATTATTTAAAAAATAGCTCACTTTCAGAATATGAAGAAGCAAAGTATTGAACAATAAAAAGAGTATCTTTAAAAACAGAAGAATGGGTTATTCCATTGGATTTTTTTTTCCTTTTTTGATGGGGTCTTACTAGGTATACCTGGTTGGCCTGGAATTTGATATGTAGACCAGACTGACCTCTGACCTTGAACTCCGAGAACCCTGCCTGCCTGCTCACTGAGTTCTGGAATTAAAGGTGTGTACCACCACACCCACCAAGTTCCTTTGTCTTTTTACTTAAGGAAAGTTGATTGGGCTTGATTTTCCTTTGATTTTTGAACCCATCTGAAAATGACTTGTTAGTATTTGCAGCTGAAAAGAGAGACACTAGTTTAGAAAAATGAAAGCTTACATAATTCTGCAGTTACTGGTGAGAAAAATGCTGACTTAACAATATTAGCACTTTGAGGGTTATGTAAATTTAGTGTTGAGCATCCAGTTGTGGTATGGGAGGGTTGAGGAAAATCAAATGGCAATGTCCGATTAAGCTGAAACACAGCGCAGTGCTGTCTGTCTCCCTGGCATGACTTGACATTGTCTTCTTTCCTTTCAAGTCGGAGCACCATAACATGGTGTGGGAAGTAAAGACAAATGAGATGCCTAATGCAGTACAGAAACTCCTGCTGGTGATGGACAAGAGAGCTTCGGGGATGGATGACTCACTCGAGTTGCTGCAGTGTGAGGAGAACTTGCCGTCCTCTCCAGGATACAACTCCTGCGATGAGCACATGGAGCTGGGTAAACCACTCGAAAGTTACTTAAGATCTCTCTAAGACTCAGGGTAATTGCCGTAGTCAGCCAGCTTCGGCGTCTTGTCTACCTGAGAAAGTGCCTGAAGAGCTTGTGAAACAGGGTCTTCAGAACATTGTCTTCTTTCTACTTTCCTTTGTAGTATGTCTGTGGTGCATGTGCCTGTGTGTGCTGTGGAGGCCAGGGTCTGTGTCAGTGGCGTCCTCTGTCCATTTCTACCTTACTCTGTTTATTCAGTGAATTTAAGAGGCTCACAGTCCAGAAAGCAGCACCCCCAGAGTCCTCTTATCTAACTGCCCAGACAGACACCTTCTGTCACAGACAGGTCCTGTGGGTGATAAGCATCCAAACTCGGGTCCTCGGGCTGTGCAGCAGGCCCAGTGGTCCAGCCTCTCTGTCCTTCTGGAGGAAGTCCTCTGTTTTAAAATGTAACTGAGACAGTGTGACCTACTTTAGGTACTCAGAGAGACTGAGAATTTGTTGAAGTACATCATTTTATTCTGTGTACTAAGATCAGACTAATAATACCTCAACTTTGAAGATTGTACCATGTGACTTGGCACCTTCGCATTGAACTCTCTGTGGGCGACCTGATACAGAAGTGACAGTACTCATCAGACATGTGTAGTGACCATTGCTGGTGCGCCACTCCAGAGAGATGCCTGTGAATGTGCAGGGCTATCGAGTGATGATTATAAATGGTACTGCTTGCAGACTGCTGTTCTGGGAGTCAGTGAGCACCTTTGGCTTGCTGCTCAGCTTTTCACTGGGCCTTGTCTTCTGTAATTTGTGGTCGCCTTGAATGTGAGCCACTCTAGGGTGTGGCTCATGAACACCTTTACAAATGAGGGTGCAGTGGTGCTTGGGGGTTTGGCCGTCCTGAAGGTCTCAGGACATAATGCCTAATGTCAAGTGCCACATGTACTCTGCCTCCTAAGACTTTCTGATAGCAGTTACTGCTGAGCAGTGAGTGATGCTTTTGGCTATGGTTAGTTGTCCATCATCATCACATGCCCAGAGAAAAATAGGCCAAGGAGCTTGCCCCACCTATCCATGGCTGCATTTTAAACGTAGTTACTTTTCTGAATCTGAAAAACAGAAATAAAGCTTTTGTAATGAAGAAATGGCGCATTTAAAGGCAGGCTGTTGACAGTGAGGTAAGGGATATAGTTACAGCATCCTTGAGAACTGGCAGTTAGAATTACTGTGTGGGCTTTGTACCTCATTTGTTCAGTGAGATGGATGCTTTGTAGTTAGTGTTAAGAAGGAATGGATGGCCTGAGTGACTTACTACTTTGAATTAAGATACTTTAGTTTTAGAGGTCCACTGCCTGCATATAGGCCTTTATGGAGATGATTAGTTCTGAGTAGGAGAGGTTTTTGTGTGTTTGAGTCATTGTCCCCCCAGTGTGCTTCTGGGTACTTTTGTATTCTCCATTGTCGTGTGGAAAAACAAAAAAACAACTCATAGCATCATAACTGAAATTACAGACAGCTCTTAGCTTCTGTGTGGATGTCTGGGGTTGAACGTAGGTCCCCTAACTGCTCAACTCTCTAGCCCCTAAAAGAGTTTTCTTGAATTGCATATTTAAGGGACCCTGTAGGTCTGGAGGGGCAGTGGCACTTTAAAGGGGGATTTTTGCTGTTTGGTCTTTTGTATTTTTTGAGATGGGGGGGTCTCTATTATGTAGCTCTGACTGTCCTAGAATTTCAAGGTAGACCAGGCTGGCTTTGAACTCAGAGATACACCTGCCTCTGCCTCCTGAGTGCTGGGATTCCCCCCCCCATCTCCATCTTTTAAAGAAAAATTTAGTATTTGGGGGGTAATTTCCTAGTTTTTTCTTTGAAGATCTAAATTTTGTGATCTGCCTTGGGGGATGCATGAGGAAAAGAATACCAGAATTGAGAGTTCCCATTTTATGTTGTTTCTGATCTGGGGTCTCACTATGCTGCTCAGGCTGGCATTGAACTCCACCACAGTCTTCCTGTATCCAGCGTCCCAGTTGCGGGTTTCAGTGTGCACAAGCAGCTCCAGCTAAAACACAAACAGAAAAGACTATGGAATCCATTGCATTTACTTCTTGGTTGTTTTGAGTCAGGGTCTTGCTGTGTAACCTAGGTTGCCCTCAAACTTGGAGTCCATCAGTCTCACCTCCCAGATACTGGGATTTCAAGCATGTACCACCATACCTAACTCACAATAATTAACATAGGTTTGTGTCATGTTACTACCTAAAACTTGATTGTGCCATCTCTGCTCTCCTCTTAGAAGTTGATTTCAGTATTGCAGTTGTTTTTATTAGGTTACTAAAGTTTGTATGTCACTGTATGTGCACATTGAATGTCACTGTATTCATCAGTCTGTTAATGTGGGGACATGTCACTGGTATGTAAGTCATTCCTAGATAAGGGATGGAACACAAACTGACCTCTTGTGATAGTCACATGGCTCAGGTAGTGAACTGTTGTCATACTCAGTCCTTTGAGGTTTTCCTCAGACTCCCTACACCCACGCGTCCACATTAGAAGCCTTTTTTCTTTTTTTTTTTTTTCTATTGAAAAATTTCTGGCCGGTCGTTGGTGGCGCATGCCTTTAATCCCAGCACTCGGGAGGCAGAGGCAGGCGGATCTCTGTGAGTTTGAGGCCAGCCTGGTCTACAGAGTGAGTTCCAGGACAGCCTCCAAAACAATACAGAGAAACCCTGTCTTAAAAAAAAAAAGAAATTTCTGAATTTAATTTTGAATGTATTTTTCCTCAAAAATAGTTAACTTTGTGTATTCCTAACTAAAGTTACTGTGGTATTCATTATATTAATGTTTAAAAAAAATAATCTTGTATTATTTCCAGATGACCTTCCTGAACTTCAGGCTGTTCAAAGTGATCCTACCCAATCTGCCATATACCAGCTAAGTTCAGATGTGTCCCATCAAGACTATCCAAGACCGTCTTGGAGCCAGGATACCTCAGACATATCGGAAAACACTCACCGTGAAGATGAGGTGGACTGGCTGACAGAATTAGCAAATATTGCTACTAGCCCACAAAGCCCTCTTATGCAGTGCTCGTTTTATAACAGGTAGGAACACTGGGTGCATCTTCCACTAAGCTCATATCATTAGGACTGGCATTGTTGCTTCAGTGGGTAAAGAAAGGAACTTACTGCCAAGGCTGAAGGAGCAAACCTGCGGTTGTCCTGGTTTTCATGCATGCTGTAGTGCATGTGTGCATACTCCCGAATTAAGAAGAAATTTAAACTTAACTTCAACAAGTTGTTACTTCAAAATCTCCTCATTCTACAATAATTATACTACCTAATGGGTGGTTAACTTAACATTTAAAGTCAGTAGAATTAACTTCCAAATAATGATCAAAGATGATTTCATTGTTTGAAGAATTAGATAACAATTATGAGAAAAATAGCCTAAAATATTTGTGTTTACAGATAAAAAATTAGCCTAAGGCATATATTTTTATACATTTTTACTTCTAGAAGTAAAAATTGCATTTTTTAAAGAGCTATGGTTAAATAAAACACTGTATTTGAAACTTATCAACTGTACATTTGATTCATTGTGTTCTTACTTTTCCACACTGTGTATAAACCTTATCTTTGCCAATTCTAAGTAAGGTTTGTTAATCTTAAAAGTGGGGGCCAGAGAGGTGGCTCAGTGTTCTTTAGAGGGTCCAGGTATGACATGGGGGTTTACAACCATCCCTCTGTGGTTCCAGTCTGGGGCTCTGTGCCCTCTGCTGACCTCAGGCACCACACACACATGGTACACGGACAGGCATGCTAGCGAAACACTCATGCACATAATGGAAACAAGTCTACACATAAAATAAATTTAAAAACTTAAAGTAGATGAGACTTCCAGTAATAAAAATCACTTCATATAGCAAGACCAAAGTTTAAGAAAATGGGTGCATCTGTAGTGAAACTGGAAAATCCTAGCTGATATTCCTAGAAGACCTTAATGGGTATCATTTCACTAAATATAGCTGAATTGCTTGGAGAAACGCCCCATCTTCACTCACCCCATCTTCACTCTGTCGCTAGGAACTAGACTAGAATGCACTAGGTAACTAGGAGAAACTCTGATTTGGGTATAGTTCCCAAGTTGCAGAACACTTAGAACATCATAGCATAGTTGTCTTGCACCCTGTTAAGGTACCCTGCTTTTCTATTTTGCAGGATATTGGTTTTGATTGGTTCAGTTAAATTCTGTGTAAATTTCCATAGGAAAGCAAATGTTTCAGAGTATCCTTTCCTTTATATCCCTACTTTCCATGGTAATGTTTAACTAGGTCACTTGATGCTAGGAAAGAACTTTGTAATAAGCTGCATCCTAGTTCCTTCACTTCAGTCACACACTTAAAAACAAATCCTGCTGAAGTGTCGCCCTCCCTCTAACTAGAGTTAGAGGATGACAGTTGTCGTCTTCATGTTGGTCTCACAGTTGACAGAAGGGCTGGGGGTCACAGCTCTGTAGAATAGTCTTACTGGGCAGGTGCAGAGTGAAGACCTGAGTTGTGTCTGAGGCACTACAAAGAAAGGAACGGAAGAAGCGTGTGGGAAGTCAGTAGTTTTCCTGAGAATATGAGTGTAAAGAAAGATAGAAGTAAGGGACTGTCTGTCTGGGGCTGGCATTTTATTCTTGGAGGCATTTTCTGGGCTGTTCTCACAGCTGTGCCAGACTCTGCTGGCTTCCTGCTCTCCATCATCGTTAGAGGCTGTTGGTGCAGTATTTTAGTTATTGAGGCTGGATGTATGATGTGTCCTGTGGTGCTGGTAATGGAGGAAGGGTCTGTGTGTTCTTGGGGGCCCCGTGTACTTGAAAGAGCACTGCTCAGGGGAGACTTTACCAAGGAAAGGAAGGAGCAGGGGTCAAGTTGCTCCTTGGAAGACAGGGACTGGACTATTAGTGTCTAGTTGCTTTGCAACAGGTTTGTATTAGAATACAAGAAATAGTGTTGTCTTATAAGAAGTGTCAACTAGAGTGTTTATGGTTAGAACGTTTGCTTAAGGCACTTCATTTCTACCTGGTCATACATGGTTGCTGAACTTTTAGCTTGTTATTCCATGCTGAGTGGGAAAAAAATGGATGGGAATTTCCTTCATGATAATATACACATCTATCTGTGTTGGGATAAAAGAGATGAGAATCAGGAATGATGGACATGTCTGCAATCCCGGATCTTGGGGCAGGAAAATCCTGAATTCCTGGCCAGTTTGGACTACAGAGCTGTCTGAATTTTAAAAGGTTGCAACAGAATGTGATGACTGTGATAACAGCACTTACTTTAGCATATATTAGTAAGCTTGCGTGTGAGAGAGCTTCTGTTAAGTTGAAGGGACAGCATGCTATGGAGCGCAGTCGTGCTGTCTTTGCCAGTGCTTTCCATGGTTCCCGCGTGCGTGACTGTTGGCACTGTGTTTCCATTGAGAGAAAAGCGGCTCTTTCAGAGCCTACACTGTCTAGTAAAACTGCTGCTTTATTTTAGATCGCCTCCTGTACACATCATAGCTACTAGCAAAAGTTTACATTCCTATGCACGCCCACCACCAGTGTCCTCCTCTTCAAAGAGCGGGCCAGCCTTTCCTCATGACCACTGGAAGGAAGAAACTCCAGTGAGGCATGAACGGGTGAGTCTCCATGATGTTAGATCTCTACAAAGTTTGTATAATAGTTCACAAGCATTGCCTTTCCCCATCTAAGAAATTCTTCTGGAGAACATACAGATGGACAAAAACATTTCATTGTTCATTATATGCATTTGATTTTGTATTAGCTTGTTATGTTAAGAAAGTTTGTTAACAAATAACAGTAGTCAACTAAAACTTAAAAAAAATAACCTTCAGTATTGAACACATATTTTCCTTAAGCTTACAATTAAGTTGTTTGAAAGCTTGAGTTAAAAATAGGTATTAAAAGATGTCTTAAAAACGTAACAAGCTTGTTTCTCTGTGCAGGCAAACAGTGAGTCAGAGTCTGGCATTTTCTGCATGTCCTCCCTGTCTGACGATGATGACCTGGGCTGGTGCAATTCCTGGCCTTCAACTATTTGGCACTGTTTTTTGAAAGGTAGAGAAATACTTAAATGTTGTGCAGCTCACTTGCGTGACACTCACTAGTCACATTATCTGATACCTTCTTTCTAATTCAACTCCAGGCACGCGACTGTGCTTCCATAAGGAAAGCAGTAAGGAATGGCAAGCTGTTGAAGACTTTGCTAGAGCCGAAGGCTGTGATAATGAGGAAGAGATTCAAATGGGCACTCACAAGGTTCATTCATTTAAAACCCTCCTCAAGAATTTAAAAACCATTCAAACTTCAGGGTTAATCTGCAGGCCTCTGCTTGTATTTCTGTTTAAATGGCACCTTGCACTCTTCGAGCTCAGTGCCTAGAGAGGTCAATGGGATCGTGGCTGTGAGGCACTTCCGGTTGCATCTAAGATGGAGGAGTCTCTGTTGCTTAGCAGAGTTATGCTTTAAATGCTTATATGTTCTGGAAACTAAACTGACATTAAACACAAATAGTAAACTAATGAAAACTTCAGGTTCTCAGGTGTATAATGCAGTTAATTTCCTCTGCAGTTAACTGGGAGTTTGTTGTCTCTTTTTAATTGACCCCAGCAAACTATCATTTTCCTTATTGATGAATTAAATGGTAGAGAGCAACATTAGGATAAATATCTGTTGATACATTGTACTTCTTTGGTTTTTTGTTTGTTTTGTTTGTGGTTTTTTTGTTTGTTTTTTGTTTTAAGACTAGGTTTCTCTGTATAGCCTTGACTGTCCTGGAACTCACTCTGTAGACCAGGCTGGCCTCAAACTCAAGAGATCTGCTTGCCTCTGCCTCCTGAGTTACTGGGGTTAAAGGCGTGGGCCACCACAGCCTAGCAACACATTTTAATTTTACTTTTAAAGCTTGTAATACTGCAGGCTGAATAAAGAAATAAATATGAGAGAATATAAAACTTACTGATAAAGCAGGGCGTTGGTGGTACATGCCTTTAATCCCAGCACTCGGGAGGCAGAGGCAGGTGGATCTCTGAGTTCAAGACCAGCTTGGTCAAAGCAAGTTCCAGGACAGCCTCCATAGCCACAGTGAAACCCTGTCTTGAAAAACAGAACAAAACAAAACAAAAAAAAGAGCAAAAAATTCCTTTTGGAGCCTAACTGTCTCCTGTTGAATTCCTTGAGAAAAAGTCTTAATTTGGCTGTCTTGAGTATAGTGTCCTCATCGTATTGTTACTCTTCATTTAGTAAAGTGTGCAGTTTGACTTCCGCTTCTCTTGTTTCACAAAAAAATTGTTTTGTAGTTTGAAGTCTGCAAGATCTGCTCCATCAGATTAGTCCCAGACTTCCTAACACTCTCTCCCATTAGTTTGTACATTGGCAGGACCCCAGGTCTCACGTCTCTGACTCTTGCTGCCAGTGTAAGCATCCTTCCTCCATGCAGCCCATGTGATAGGCATCCTGTTGTGGAGAGCACTCTGCTCCCAGACTGTCCTCCAGGAATCCTTACGGGACTAACTTCATTATCTGGACTGTGACTTCCTAATCTGTAATTTGAAATCAGATAAAAGTCTTATATAGCCTTGATTTATTTTTTTAAAATTTCTACCTGTTCCTTTAGTTATTCTTGATGACCAGATTTCAAAACCAAGAAATTGTCTTTCATTATGTTGTTTGATCCCTTCATGTTCAGTTTACCATTTCCATAGGATTTTCAACATTGTCTTGTCTCTCTCAGTCGTTTTGTTCATCCACTAGTATGGAACTGCATGCTATAGCTAGCTATGATCATGTTTCTTTTTCTATGAATGCAAGGGTAAGCATCACGTTTTCATGTCATTTACAAGCCGGGCATGTACTACTGTATTACTCAGTAAATATACATTGAATGTAAATTTCATTTGGTTCTTCTGTTATTGTCAACTCAATATGAACAATGGGTTTCTTATAACCTCGAGTAATTAAAACATAGGGGCTGCTGCAGAGACTAGTGCATGGGCATATACAGATACACACAGATCTCTAAAAGCAATCAAGTACTAGATTCTCCTTCTGTATCATCATCATCTTAAAATTGACAGCCACATTAATAAAAATACTGCATTGACTTCCCAACACGTTCTAAGTGGAACTTAGTTACTTTGCCTATCTTACTCTGGTAATGGGCCTGTTTTAAGCAAATACTTAGATACTCAAAGAATTCCCATCTCACTTCAAATGAAAGTCCTTAATCTATCTCAGAATTAGTATCTTTGCTTATTAAACTTGATCATATTTTTATTTGGGTTAAAATGCAAATCCAGTCTGCCATGTATCCTGTGGGCATTTGTGTGTGTGTTTCTTTGTTACTGGTTTGAGAGTACTTTAAAGCTGAAGATACTGAGTGTTACCTCCAGCCGTGACACATGTTGGGAATTTCACTGTTGAGTTGGAGTGTTTACAGTTCATTTACTCAACGCATATGCTTATCTGCTTTCAGGGCTATGGTTCTGATGGTCTAAAGTTGTTATCCCATGAAGAGAGTATATCATTTGGTGAGTCTGTACTGAAGTTGACTTTTGATCCTGGTACAGTAGAAGATGGCTTGCTTACTGTGGAATGTAAACTGGATCACCCTTTCTATGTTAAAAATAAAGGTAGGGCTTTAATTGTATTTGTACAGACTTCACTATTATTTTCATGTGTGTGGTTTTTTGCCTGCTTGGATATCCAATCCCATGGGACTAGATTTCAGATGGCTAAGAATTGCCAGCTGCACCCCAGATCTCTGGGGGAACAGGCACTAATCTTAACCTTCCCCGAGTTCATAAATGCTTTAAAAAGGCTTCCTACACCTGTTCTGTGGCTTTAATGAATAAGAAAAAAGTTGAAAATTTATTTCAAACCAAATAAAATTACAAAGGAAGTTTTTTGTAATTATATTTAATAATGTTTATCTTTGCCATAGTCAGTTAAAATGTCCCTGAGTATTTGAGAAATTTCATTCATACAACATACTGTAAGCCCCTCAGTTTGGTGTAATGTGGGGAGTGGTATCCTCGGTAACCATATTTTTGTTTATAGTTACAAGTAGGTTGTAAGCCACAGTTAGTCTTACTGCGAGTTTTACTACAAAAATATCATGCTAAGCATAATTTAGTAATTCACAGGCTAGTCTATAGTTTCATTATTTATCCCTTAGCTGTTTATGCAGATGGATAGAAGTCTGACTGATAGACATTTATAAATAACTAGAAAGTATGGACTGATAGGGATTTATAAATAAAATACTGAATTAATTAGTTTTGGGAACTTTTACATAGCTGAAACAAAATATTTAATCTCGTGATTGTTTATTTTAAAGTCAGAGACTTGACATGTCAGATTTAGTTAGTAGTACCTAGTCTTTCTAACGTGCGTTCTCACTAGACTGCCTTGTGTCATGTCTCTGTCTATTGTTTAACTTTAGGTTGGTCATCATTTTATCCAAGCTTGACTGTGGTACAGCATGGCATTCCATGTTGTGAAATTCATATTGGTGACATATGTCTACCTCCTGGACACCCTGATGCCATTAATTTCGATGATTCAGGTGTTTTTGATACATTTAAAAGGTAATAGTGCATTTCTTTCCTGTTAAAGTTTATGCTCTAGTGAGTGCTGAGTCAAAATTAAGGGTAACTTTTAAAGGTTTTAAGAATTTAAAAAGGGCTGGGGAAATGGCCCAATAACTAAAACCACTTGCTGTAGAGAACCCTAATTTACGCTAGGTGAATAGTGGCCTGTCTGTAATTCCAGCACTGGGAACAGGAAGACAAGAGGCGACAGAAGCTAACTGGTTGTCAACGCAAGCCTTGGAGCACTGGGTTCAGTTGAGGGTTACCACCTCACCTCACAAAATAGGTTAGAGAGCAACTGAGACTCAAGTCATTTCTTGTAGATGAGTATAAAATCATGTAAATACTTCTGTAACTGAATTGTTCATGGCAGCAAACAGGCCTTATTGGTGTTGCTAAATTGGATTTTACTACTTACATTGTGGTGTTCTTACCAGAACATGAATGAACCTAACTACACATTTTAATGAATTGAATCAATTTAAGAAATAACTTTTAACTGGGCAGTGGTGGTACACACCTTTAATCCCAGCACACAGGAGGCATAGGCAAGCGAATCTCTTTTAGTTCCAGGACAGCCAGGGAGATTACACAGAGAAACCTTGTCTCAAAAAACCAAAAAAAGAAATCTGTTAAGCAAAAGTTAATCTAAGAAACATATACAGTGTCAGGTATTCTCTGGACTGCCCTACCTACATTCAGTGATGTCCCAGGGAGACTCGCGAGGCACAGACGTGCTGTGTTCTTCATGGCCACAGCACACTATGGCAGAAGGATACCAAGAGCAGTCAGGAGAGGGCACGTCCCCGCAGAGGTGAAAAGCCGGACTCGGCGTCCAAGAATGAGTAGTACAAACATCGGGGTTTTTGCCAGAGAAGTTTGTTAGACTTTCAAGATGGCCAAATAAGATTCCCTTCCTGGTATGCACTAACATTGCAGTTTTTAAACAATAACTGGGTGCTCATACCTCAGATCCAGGTAGGTACCTAACCCTAACCTCTTCCAAGTTGTTGGAAGGGAAACCAAGTTCTAGATGCCGTCAAGGACCAGTGCTGTGAATAGACTGTTGAAAGTGCAGGCCTACAATGTCGTTTTACACAGAAACCCCACTGTTGTGTTATCAAAACCTAAGAGCGATTGATTCTCTGTGGCACAAATGCACTGTGTTAGGGGTGTTAGAACCTTTCTGAGTATTAGTTCACTGTTTAGTTTATCCTTCATAACTTAGGCATTGCATAGTATAGTTCATTTAAAAAAAAACAAAAAGGGAAATTTGGCTGTTCAAGTCTTGTTTTTCTAAGATAGCAAGCTTTCATTTCTCACTGTTGGTGTTGCTGTTAATTAGTGGGAGCAGGTGAGTTCATCTGGAAGACCATTAGTCTCATTGAAGTTGAGTGACCGTAGTGTGATAGTGGTCCTCCTCTTCTGCACTAGATAGTTTTTCCAAGGTGTTCAATTTTGTAGCCTCACACACTCTCCAGTCACGTTAGGATGCACTTTAAATACTGTTGGTATGCCTCTCTTCTTGCAGTCTTGTGAAGGAACTGGGCTGGTGATAGGTAGTGTGCTAGTTGCGGCAAGCCTTGGGTCTGGTAGAAGCATGACTCAGAGCTAGCCTGCCTGCCTTCGCATCCTGATGGTGCACTAAGCTAGCTGTGGAAGCCTGCGTAAAGTTGATTCACTTCTCTATAGTGGTTTTCTAGCCATAAAACATGTAGTGATTTAAATACTCATCTTTTAGACTAAATATGTTGGTACATGTGGCTCTACATTATTGTAGAGTTTGCCTTTAAGAGTAATGACTAAGGGGGTGGGTGGAGAGATAGCTCAGTGCCTAAGAGCATTTCAGAGCACCCATATTCTGTCCCAAGCACCCACATCAGGGGACTAACAGCTGTCTGTAACTCCAGCCCCAGATTGCCTCTGGCCTCCATAAGCATCTGCACACAGTTGAAAGTAATAAATTAATCTTTGAAAGAAGAGAGTAATTAAACAGGAAGGGGTTTGAAGAATGATGTGCTAAGATGCACGGTAGGAACAGATGCTCACAAAGGGTAGCAGAACATGTATGCTAAGAAGATGGCTGTCATTGCTTTAGCTGTCAAAATCCTGCATACTGTTGCTGGGTGTGGGAACTCACCTGAGTTGTACTCACAAAGACAGATCTCTGCCACTAGGTGGTGGAGTTTTCAAATTTTAGTAACTAGCTTCCTCTGTTAGTTTAGATAATTACTTTCTTCAGTAGAAGTGGACAGTTATGCATTACATTCTTACACAGTGGCTAGCTTTGATCATTTTCTAAACTTTAGTAGGGCCTTAAAATAGTTTATAAAGCCTTTAGTGCATGCCAATTCTAAACATTGATTATATGACAATTTTGGAGTTAGTTGTTTTCAGTACATTTATTTCATTAATACCTTGAGAAAAAAGACAGAACTGTCTTTTGGCAGAAATAACTTTTGCTGTTTGCATTAAGGGTGTGGACCCTGCTTTGCTCTTTCGGCACTTTGCTGTTTATAGATTTTGTGGTCTATTGGTATTTCATATTGTTTCTACTTTGATGTACTACCCAGAATTTCTGTTTGAGAAACATTCATGATAAAAGTCAAATGAAAGAGTTTGAGGATCCTTTGAGGGTGCATCTTTAGGCTGTGATCTATATTAGCTCGATTTTTATCTTGTTTTAATTAATATGGTGATTGCTTGATTATTCTTTAATTTGGCCATTGGAATTATGAAGATGCTGGGAATGTGGGTGGGAAACCTGGACTTTACATCCTAGGCACTAGCCTAGGTTGAATGACACAATGTATCTTTTGGCTGGCCTCTCTCTCCTTATGAAAGCGCCAATGAACTCCCCTACCCCCAGGCTTGCTGAAGAGTCGGACTATGGATAGTTTGTTTGGGTAATTATGCATGTGGAATTTACGTTAAAATATGACCTTTACTGATGGGGTGGGTTAAGATACTAGTAATACATAGGTGGACCTGTATATGTCAGAACTGTTTTTGTCCATATGAATTCTCAAATTGCAGTGTATTTTAAGCTACCATATTTAACGGCCATTAGCGAAGGCAAACAAGGTGTCAGTCCCCGTGTTGCTCAGGCTTGCTGCTGTTGTGCCCAGACTCTGAACCCCAAACCACCAAGAGACCAGATCCAGTGCTAAAGCTGAGTCTTTAATGTATGAGTCAACTTGTCCTCTGTCCGTCCAACACAGCACGTGGAGTCGGAGGGACCCTGAGAAGCAGTGGGGCAGAGCAAGGGGCGTGTCTGAGGGTCCACTAGTTACATAGCAACAGTGTCAGGAGTGGTGCCCCTCTGGGCTGGGGGAACTCTCCTGAGTTGATTGGTCAGCTGCAGCTGCAGGAAGGTTGCTGTGTCTGGAGGCCATCCCAGGGCAGTTGCTATGTCTGCATTCCACCGTTACCAGTAAAGCACATCCCGTTGTGACCTGGTGGTTGCTTCCTAGTCTTTGGGGCAAGGTCGGACAAGGTCGGGAGCTCAGCGTGTGCTGCTGAGTCAGGGGCCTGCATCCTGCTGGGTCTTTTCAGCAGCCTGTCGAGGCTGCCAAAGCAGGGGGCTGGGTGAGGGTCTGTCTGAGCCTCCTCAACACGGGGAGTTCTGGGCTGAGTGACGGCCCTTCTCAAGCTGGCTTTTATCTTCCAAGTCATTAGCTCTCAGGCCTGGATACTACCCACGCCATTTTGGTTTCCTAGGTCCAGAGTCTTCTAGGCACGAAATGAGATTAATTTGTAACCAGTTTTGTTAAACATGAATGTAGAATAATCAAGAACAGGTATGGGATGTGGAAAGGAGTTACCTGTTGGGAAGGACATGTGCTGACTGTGACTTTCCTGGGCCTTGGAGGTTGATGTTTAAAGCAGTTTTCAGGTGCCTGCATGAGGTTTCCCCTCTAAATGTCCGAGAGCTGCTAAAGTAACAATGGTGACGGCGTGGTGTAAGAGGCAGAGAACTTTTCCGTCCACGGGAGGGTTAGAGTGCTGTAGACACTGCTGTGGTCTGACCTGAGCGGGCTTGCTCCTTTCCAGCTATGACTTCACCCCCATGGACTCCTCTGCGGTTTACGTCCTGAGCAGCATGGCTCGCCAGCGCCGCGCGTCTCTGTCCTGTGGAGGACCCGGGAGTGCTCAGGAGTTCGCGGGCTCCGGGTGCAGAAAAGGCTGTGGCTCCCCTGGGTCAGCACAGCTCTCCTCTGATCCTCTGTATGCGAAAGCTGTCAAAAGCCACAGCTCGGGGACTGTGAGTGCCACTTCTCCTAATAAGTGCAAAAGACCAATGAATGCCTTCATGCTGTTCGCCAAAAAATACAGAGTTGAGTACACTCAGATGTACCCAGGGAAAGATAACAGGTAAGTAGTGACAACCTAAGTTCAGGTACTGACATGTTAGTGCAGTTCACAGTAACTTCAAGAGCTCTTGTGGATTTCTTTCCTTTTCTTAGGTTGGCTTTAGATACATTGTTTTTTTGTTTATTTAAAATTTCTTTTTCATTTTATATACCAACCCCAGTACCCCTCTCCCTTCTACCACCCCCTACCTCCTCCCATCCCTACCCCCAACCACTCCTTGGCTGAGGTAAGGCCTCCCTTGGGGAGTCAACAAAGTCTGGCATACTAAGTTAAGGCAGGACTAATCCCTTCTCCTATGTCAAGGCTGAGCAAGGTACCTGCCATAGGGAATGGGCTCCAGAAAGCCAGTCCATGCCACTGGGAGAGGTCAGGTCCCATTGCTAGTGGCCCCACAAACAGACCAAGCCACACAACTGTCTCGCACAGTCAGAGGACCTAGTTGAGTCCCATGCGGGTTCCCCGGCTTCGTCCTGAGCTCCCCCTAGCTTGGGCCTCTGTGGTTCTCCCACCATGATCTTGACCCCCCGCCCTTGCCCATATTATCCCTCCCTCCTCTCTTCAATGAACTCCAGGACAAGTGAGGTGAATGGCTAAGGGTTATTCTTGGAAGGAAGTGATTTGTATGTTCTGGATGAGGCCATTGTAATAGATTTATTATCAGAATGACTAGGAAAAATAGGAAAATGTCAGCTTGCCTCCCTCTTACCTTTTTGAATTTAATCCAGAGTCTCTCACGCTAAGTACAAATCCGACTTAAAGTGTACTTTTTTATCATTCAACAGAAACTAAGGCAAAGAAGTCTTTCTCACTTGGCTTGCATTTATGTGGAGAAAAAGCTTTTATCATAACTGGGATGGTTTTGAGCAGCTATGCACACAAATTAAGTTCCTAATACAAGCTGACTGCCTTATGCTGCCAATACTGAAAACTTTTCTAGGGAAATAGCCAGTTGTTAGCCATTCTGGATGTCTTGGAACAAATATTCATACTGGCACTATCCACCCAAGACTCTGATAAGTGACCCTGTGACAGGATGCTGCTAACATGGCTGTGACGGCCTTCTCTGTGTTTTACACGTTTGTCTGAAGTAGCAGTTGGTACACATGTGTGGTAAGTTTACGCCATGTTAATATTTACTTTGCAGAGCCATTAGTGTCATCCTTGGTGACCGGTGGAAAAAGATGAAGAACGAGGAGAGGAGGATGTACACATTAGAAGCCAAGGCTTTGGCTGAAGAACAAAAGCGCCTAAACCCTGACTGTTGGAAAAGGAAAAGAACCAACTCGGTACGTGTTGGCAGCGTCTGCTCTGGCTGTGCTGTGTGCTGTGTGTCAGGGCCTTTGAAGAGGTCTCGCCGTTGTCATACTCAGTCTATTAATGTTCTCAGAACATACCAGCAAATTCTGCCTTTGTTTTTTTAATCATCAAGAACCACTTAGGACAAGCAGAAATCTCAAGCCAGCTTAAGAATGCCCTAAATGCTGAGGTAGAAGATAATTTTGGAATATAGTAGTAGTTCTAATTTGGTTAAAAGATGGGCACTAGGCTGAGCAGTGGTGGCACATGCTTTTGATCAGCGCTTAGGAGGCAGAGGCAGGTAAGTCTCTGAGTTAGAGGCCAGCCTGGTCTACAGAACGAGTTTAAGGACAGCCACGGATACACAGAGAAACCCTGTCTCAAAAATAAAATAAATAAAAGTGGACACCATTATCTTGCTTATGAACACTGTGGTAGGAGACGTCTCTAGTTCAGGGTGTCTTACCCACTGCCAGAACGTGCTGACAGCGAGTGTGAAGAGGAAAGAGGGGCGGGAAGTCAGCCTCCCAACACTGTCTTGGCTGACAGACTGGCACCTTTGTGTGCAGAGTACACATGCTGCAGTAGAACGAGCTCAGCTTTGATGGTGAGGTGAGCAGTTAAGAGGAAGAGGACTTGTTAGGAGTGTTTTAATCTAGTTCTTTATCTTTTGTAGGTTAAATGGCTCAGTGATTTAAAGTAGTAGTCAGCTGCCAGAAGTAGTTGAACTATAATGTACAAATGTACAAGTTTGTTTTGCGCTCTGTGTGTGTGTGTGTGTGTGTGTGTGAGAGAGAGAGAGAAAGAGAGAGAGAGATGGGGGAGGAAGACCGAGAAGGGGGGAGGGAGAGAGGAAGGGGAGAGAGACAGAAACGTTTTATGTAGCCTGGGCTGCCCTCAAACTTCTTTTGTACCCAAGAATGATCTGCAACTTGTGATTCCCCTGCCTCCAAACCCCTTAATTCAGGGAGCACACACACAACCCAAGGTTTTGTGTGTGTGTGTACACACGTGTGTGCAAGTGCAGCCTTGCATATTAAAGTCACAGGACAAGCTCGTGTTGGTTGTGGTATCTTCTGCCTTGGATTCACAGATGTATATAGTGCTGGGGTTTGAGCCCGGGGCTGTGCTTGGTGGGCGGGATCTCTACCAACTGAGGCAGCACACATGTCCTGACAGAGTCCCGTTGTTGAGAACATCTCACTGGCCATTACCTGTCTGACTGTCTGTGCATGCTGCTCTCACATTTGTATCAAGTTTCTGGATATTTGAGCCACGAGGAAGCTGAGAATCTTCCCAGTAAATTTATGAACATCTGAGTTTACCCTGTAGGGTTATCATGCATTGTTTTGTAAGCATTCACTGTTTTATTTCCACAGGGCTCTCAACAACATTGAACCTGATGCTTGTGTTTGTAAATCTATGTCTGCATAAGTACTGACTCTGGATGGAAAAGCTTGGAAGACCTTGGTCTCACCATTTGTCCTGAATTTGCGTGACCATAAGATACTGATAGCATTGAGTCCTGAAATGATTTAATGAGTGAGGATTTGCTTTCTCCATTAGAGCATTAAGTAAGCTACAACTATCAACATTGTAAACCAAATTGCCTTATTTTCCTTCCAAACTTCATATATGTCTATCAGGTAATATAGGCTTGAAAATTGATATCCTGTGGTGCTAAAGTACAGTAGAAAGCCCTGTATACATGTCTTATTTTAAATTGTAAGAAGGGGAATTAAAACTATGTAACTGCTGTCCATATATCAGCTCCTTACTGCTTATTAATCTGTATTGTACCCATGATATCAGGAAGGAAGTAGACGCTGGCCTTTTCTTGAGTAGCCACCACATGGCCCAGCATCTGTGCCAAACACAGTCGCTTCTAGTCTGGCCAGTGCCAAGAGACAACATGACATGGCAGGTAGGTGGTGGCATTGTCCTAGCTAAAAGAGCCACCTGCTTGGGGAACTCAGGCTTGTGCTGAGTGGCGGCCCCAGGGGGCAGCCCTCCATGATTTCCAGTGGGGGCCAAACTGACCAGGGTGCGGTCAGTCTCTAGCAATGGGACAGTCACTGTAATGGTGCTCTTAACAGTCGACACCGTTGTATGCCAGTGTGTTCTCCATCTCCTCCACCACACCACACGCATGCTGTCATCGCGTCTATGTGGGGCAGACTGCACTCACTGCAGTGCCTGCCGGCCGCCGCCCTCTCCTCCTGCAGCTTCTGGACAGAGCGAGCGCTTTGTGCGGAGTTTGCTCTGCGCTACAATCATGGCTTCTCATGTTACTTACCAAGTGGTATTTTTGGTTAGGAATCACAGTTGTAAAATTGATTTCAGTTGATCACACTTCTACATGTTGCCCCTCAATTTTGCACACTATATTCTTGTATATTATTTGAAATAAAATGGAAAAAGTCTCTGATTTCTGGTTGGCTGAGTGAATTTATGTATAAGCTCTCATAATAATTTGACCAGTGCATGGAAAAACATGCTTGGTAAAACTGAGTTTTGGTGTTACAATTAGGTTTCTGGTAGGATTTTAAAAATTAAAGCATGTTAAATAATGAGGACAATAGAAAAATAAGGACTTACAGAGAATCTTTCTATAAACTTTTATTTTTTAACTTGTCTTTGTTTCAAAGTTCAGGTACCTGTTTTTAATAAAATGGCAAAGGATTAAGGAGACCCTGGCTTCATTTAAAGGAGAGTCCTCATCAGGTGTGCACTCGGGAACTCCCCAGTGCTGACTCTAGAGTGAGGCTGGGGAAAGCAGCAGAGTTGATCTTTGGTAGTGTGCGTGCGCGCACACACACACCCCTACCTAATTAATTTTACCTTGTTGAGAAATTTGAAAAGGGAAACATGGCCTCATGAACACCGGGGTGTGTGGAACTGAAAGTGACGGCTGGTCCGTTTGGCCGTGTAAAGCAGGCACTGGGCCAGTGGGGCAAGCACTGTGGTTTTCAGGTGCTTGCTGCCACCCTCGGATGGGTGTGGTGGAGACTGCAACTTCACTGAAGAGTAGACATGGCCTTCTGAAGCAGCTGGACCATAATGGGATAAACTGGTGCAAATTCTTTGCCTTCTCTGCTTCTCACTGACTGAACATAAGCTTCCAGGGCTCCCCTGAAATGCAAAGGAACACTGTCAAAAGTCCACGTAACTGTCCATTTCTGGAATTGCTCTGCCCAGAGCCGCAGGCCAGTATTCAAACATGCACGGGGTTACAGTAGTTAGGCCAGTCTGGTGGTTCAACTATGGCCAATTCAGTCTGCTGACATTTTGGTACAGTTTCCCTGTGTCCATCCTGAAGGCACGGAGAATGTGGGTATAGTTTGTGCTTGCTTATGGAGTCCAGCCAGGGGAGAATACCCTGGGCACACACAGCTACAGCATTTTAGGGCTCTTGTGTTTGGAAGATAGGTGGCAAGGAGTCTGAACTTAGGCACTGGTGTGTGATACTCTTTGGTGGCATTCTTGTGAATTGCACGAGGGACAGGATATGGTGGCCGTTTTCCCACAACAACAGAGCTGTAGGGGTGGCTATAACTGGTCTCCATGGGAAAACTTGGGTATCTATCTCCAGCCAGCAGAACTAACAATGGCTTGTGCCCCTTTATAGAGAGGAATCAATTACTGCTGTACTATTCACATCTTTGTCGTTTCCCAAACACTGGAAAAGTCATGGTCGTGTGTGTGCCTGCCTCTTCACCTATGGGGCTGTCTCTGCCTCTGTTTGCCTTCTGGGCATCTGAAGTAATATTTAGTGTCTACAGAATGCTTGGGACTGTTCTACTGGTCTTTCCTTCTGGAGCCCTGGGACCCAGTTCTGAAACTCACTCCTGTCTGTATGGAGTCCATCACCATGCACTCAGACCACCCCACCTATTTCCACACTTGCCCCCAGCAACTCTGGTTCAGTTTGAGTGCCTGCACCTGTGAGGCGGTCATCCTGGTTACTTACTAACTCTCCAACATCACCAGCTATCCCTTGTTTGTAAGAGGGTGACACCCAAACAACCCAGCTGTGTGACAAACCACTGCTCAGCCCTTTATGCTTCTTGACAGTTTGATGAAGTCTAAAAAGACCTGCAGATCACTCATCTGTAGTTCACTCGATCCTGGCTGAGCCCATTGTCCAGTCAGGGAAGAGATCAAGGTATTTTTCCACTCAGATGTCTGTCCCAAAACAGGAGTTGGCAGAGGGCCTGTTTGGACTTTGCCATCCCACATATCCAACAATTAGAGAGATGCACTCTCCTTACCATCACCCTTGGGATGATACCCCTCCTTGTGCTCTCCCTGGACAGTCTTGATCAGTGAGGGCTCAGCTTTCAAAATTTCCTTTGCCATAAACCATTCCTAACATCAGTCACACAGATATATATAAAGGCCTGACTACACAGTGCCCAGAATTCTTCAATTCCTGGCATCAAGGCTATGTTGAGGATGAGTGAATCCTTTAGCTGTATGGAATCATGGGCAGGCCATTAAGTCAGCTGGGCAGAAGTGGTGCATTCCTTTTAATTTCAGCACTCAGGAGGCAGAGGTAGATAGAACTCTTGAGTTTGAGACCAGCCTGGTCTACAGAGTAAGTTCCAGGAAGCCAGGGCTATACAGAAAAACTCTGTCTCCAAAAGAAAAGGGGGAAAAAAAAGGCTTCTCATAAAATGGTATTCAGCTCAGCCTCAAGTAATTCTCAACTCTCAGAGAGTGGAAGTCAGGGCTCTAAAAAAAGTACGTTGTGAGCTGTCCCAGTGCATACAGAGCCAACCCTTGGTGAGTTTGTTCTCTGGAGAAAACGGTTTCTTTTCCAACAACTGCCATGCCTGTTCAGTCCTTGGAGACTGGCTGAGAGACAATGGAAGTAACCTCCAAGGACTCAGCCATCGCCGGGGCAGTGGGGTGTGTGCTCACACATTTCCCAATCTAAGATGTGGAAAATCTTACAAAGGAATGTTGCAGGGTGGACACTCTGTTTACAAAATGTTCATTAAAAGCAGCAGTCTCTTGCATTTGCAGGGATAAGGCTATGGAAATCGTGAGTGCGTAGATGAGGCTCAAAATAAGTTCGGTTAGCTTTTTCTTGTTTCTTGATATCCATCAAAAACACCATCAGAACTACAGTAAGAAAACAGACCAAGCTGCCCTCCCACATAAATCAGGACAAGGTTTTCAAGCACTTATTAAATTACTTCATTTGCTTCAGCAAAACATTAGCTTTCTTGGAAGTCAGGCCAACCATTATGTAAGAGGCTTGTTTATACCACATAAGATTGCTGAAGTTACCCTCAGTGAAGAAAAGCAGTGAGTATAAGTGAGTGTAAGTACTGAAGACTGGCTTGTGTTACTAGGGCACGCTGTTGAGTCACACACCAAGGAAATGTTTTGTAAGCAGCAATTTTTTGTCGAAATCATTGCGATTAGGACTGAAATCCTAAGTGACCTCTTATATCTGTACCGGTTTTCCCTGGTTTCACAGTCCCCATACATCTATCTCAGGCACAGGTCCTAGAGCTGGCATCTACTGTCAGTGATAAACACAGGAGGAATCTAACATTACCTTCCATAACAGACACTTTAAGACTTTCAGGAGCCAGGCAATGGTGGCACACACCTTTAATCCCAGCCTGTGGATCTCTGAGTTCTGGGCCAGCCTGGTCTACAGAGTTCCATGACAGCCAGAGCTACAGGAGAAATCCTGTCTTGGACTCTCCCCTGCCCCCCAAAAAGATAAACAAACCAGGGCTTTTTAGAAATCTGGACTATCTGGAAAAAGAAGGTCCTAGCCTGTGGGTTCTGGACAGTAGCAAGAGGCCTAAGTGTCCACGGATTCAAATGGTACCAATGTTTTCTGTAACAATAGACAAATGTGCCATCAGGCTGATAAAGTCTAAACTGTTCTCACCTAAGTGTCCCCAGAGGGCTACAATAAGATGCATTGTTCTCCCTGCAAATACACAGGTTTGTGTCAGATCCAACCGTTTCTGCAGAGCCCAGGAAGTTTTGCATCCAAACTATGCTCCACCTTCAGTGAAAGCACGGTCTGGGCCAGGGCCTCTGCGCTGGGGCCCACATGGCTGCTGCTGCTGCTGCCTGTGGCTGAGTTGGTGCAGCCCATTTCTCTCGTGGCCTGGGTCAGTGACTGCTCTGACTTTAACGTCAGTTCACTGTCCCCTCTTCACGTTCCACAGAAACACCTGATGCAGGGGAGGCACAGGCGGGCAGGGCAGAAGAGAACTCCCCATCTGCAGTCACTCTGCTGAGCACTTTGCCCTGCCAACAGCCTAACAGACCGGAGGAAGAGTGAGGCTCCTGCAAGGCCTGCTCCAGAAGCTTAAGGAAACGCTGACATCAGACCAACACTTGCCCTGGATCTGTCCACAGGGAGAGGACCATCCAGTGATGCTCTGGTGGTCAGGAGAAAAATTCTCCGAGGTTCCAGGTAAAGAAACCATAACCTCTAAGGCAAAGGCCCTTTCTGGCCATGGCCAGGCCGCTGTGGCATGCAGTTTCTGTGGCTGCACCTTTTACTCAGGGGTGAGAGGTGCCTCTGAAGAGCATGGCTCTCACCTGTGAGAAGGGACTTAGCAACAGCACTGCCGAGGGACAGTTTAAGAAGCAGCAGCAGAAATCAGATCTGTGATCACCCATAGCAGGCCAGCCATGACAAAAGCAAGGCATGCTGCAGGGACTGTTTGGGACTCAGAAAGAGGAAGTCCAAGACACTGAATCAACTAGAGAGAGGAGACCCGAGCCCCCTCAGCGTCCGAAGCCTTTTCCAAAGCTTGTTTATGGAGGCCTGCCTGGGCACTGCCGGGAAGCTCACCCAGGAGCTTTTCTCATTTGAGGGTCAGCTCCCTAGTGAGGGAAGAGAAGCCTGGGCTCATGTTCCTTCCACACAGGCTTCCTGGGGCTCCGATGGCACGCCTCTCAGCAGATGTGGGCTCTGGGTCTCAGTGGATGCTTTAGCACTGTGACGCCTTCTCGTGCACACACAGCTGGGAATGGCTCCCGCGTGAGCCTCATACTTGCACTGTGGATCAGACGGCCTGGCCGGCCTGCCGTGTACCGCAGACTAGAGTGACAGGGTAGAGAATGGCTTCACAGGTTCAAGAGCAATGCTCGCTGGGATCAGAGGACGAGGTGGACAGGCTGACTGATGATCTAGCTGTTTCCTCACATGGCTGGGCAGGTGAGTGGCCTCCCATGATGGGTATAGGAAAGGGGGTGTGCATGGGCTATTGCATTAGAACATCCGGAAGCTGACATTTCTGTCATGTATTTGCGTGCAGATGTCTGAGAGCAAGTTTACTGGCCTAAGGCAAGTGAGTCCTAGACCCAGGGTTCATGGGGTGTGGGGAAGCTACAAGAAGCATGTGTCTGCATCAGCTCAACTGAGAGAAAAGTTAGAAACAAAAT